ACGTCTTTTTGCCCGGTGGGCTGGAGTTATTATGTCATCATCAGTAGAAGTAGATACATTGCACTCGTTTGATTTGGTGCTTTCATAAGAAATTGCCTTTTTGACCAATTATGAGCCATCTCTTTGCTGTCCCTTAGCTTGCCAAGTTATCAATAAAGGTAAATTTAAACTTTAATACTTTGAATGAAAGTGTTGCCTGTGATTTTCCACCAGTAAACACTGCTCATTCTGAAACTCACGGTAGAGCACTAGGAGTTCTTTTGGGTGCCCTTTGTTTATCAAGTGTCAAAATTGCCTCTTGTTAATAATACAGTAAACGGAACAAATACAGATTGTGCATAGTCATTATATAAAATTCACACAACCTCTGTGAAAGCCATTTAGGGCTGGGCGATATAACCTTTTATAAAATCTTATATAAAATCAATAAATCTCAATATTTACAGTATGTATTTGTTCTGAAATTACTTGGAGGATGGAGTTTTCCCTTTTTGGTTAAAGTTTGTTATTTTTTATTTTTTTTTACTTAAATAGGCAGGTTTTCCACACTGTTTTTCACTAAATGAACACAAGAAAATGTATATTTTATTTAAATGCATCATTACCTGCATTCAGGAACTTCAGTGAACATGCCTGACGCAAAAGAATCGTTGAATCAGTTTTGAATTGATTCACTGAAATGTGCAGTTTGATCTGATTCATTGCAATGAATCAAACGTACCATCTCTGTCAACGTTTTGTACATTACTGAACATTAGTGAAGTTTAAATCAGAACGCCATTAAAACACTCTCATATTCATGAAATGAACTCTCAGGAAAAAAAAGTACATTACTTTAGCTACTAATATATACACTTTAGGTACTAATATGTACTTTTAAAGTAGTAATATGTATATTTAAGGTACAAATATGTATCATTTAGGGATAAATAAAGTAAAAAGATGTACCTTTTAGATTTTGTACCTTAAGGTACAGTCTCGGTGACAGCTTTGTACCTTATTTTTCTGAGAGTGTATAGACAAAAAAGGATTGTGAAACTAGTCTAATCACAGACTCTCTAAGAAACGTATAATGGCCAAATAAAAAGTAATAATTATGGTATTTATGATTCATAGCAAATATTCTATAAATCGCCCAGCCCTGAAGCCAACTAATACCTGCAAAGACAAAAGCTGTAAAGGTTCACTGTAAATTTTGTCCGGTGCTTTCTAAACAAAGGTTTGCATTTTTTGGATTGCATAAATTCAGAAATGAGTTGGGATGTTGATTAATAATTTTGATTCTCACGCTGTGAGGATGTCTGACTCACACGCTAGACATCTCCGTGTGTTTCAGCCCGAAAGCAGGAGATCATAAAGGTGACCGAACAGCTGATTGAATCCATCAACAACGGAGACTTTGAGGCTTACGCGTGAGTGAACGCACAAACCTGTCGCCATGACAACCGCAGCCCCTCTTAAGAACACTAATGCATTGCTTTTATTTTCTCTTGATTACTGAGATTATTTTTAATGGTCTGCTCCGTCTATATTTAAAACCAAGCCTCACTATATAACAGCTTCAAATGTGACATGTTCACATTGAATATTAACAGTCTAAAATCGGCTTTTAATGCTTTTGGACTAATGTCTGCACTCAAATTAAGACTTTTAGCTTTACTTTCTACTCTTTTTTTTTTCACAGAAAGATTTGCGATCCTGGCCTTACTTCCTTTGAGCCAGAAGCTTTGGGAAATCTGGTGGAGGGGCATGACTTCCACCGGTTCTACTTTGAGAACGGTATTTAGATTCATATCATTTCACACTCAGAACTTAAAGAAAATATCCTGATGAGTTTTGATTACAACAGTATTTTGATCACCGTATTTCTGCCATCTCCTTTAGCACTGTCCAAAGGTAATAAACCAGTACACACTATCTTGCTGAACCCCCATGTGCATCTGATCGGAGAGGATGCGGCATGTATCGCGTACATCCGTCTGACCCAGTACATGGATGGCAGTGGGATGCCACGCACCATGCAGTCAGAGGAGACCCGCGTCTGGCACCGTCGAGATGGCAAGTGGCTAAACATACACTTCCATCGCTCTGGAGCCCCCAGCGTGCCCATCATGTAAGACTCATAGAGCATCTCTACTGTTTAATGTATACGATAATGATATTGATCACAAAAGGGTCATTCAAAGGAAAATGCATGAAAAGCTTTTTATCGTTTAATTTGAAAAGGTTTCTGCGGAGTCTGACCTCTCAAGAAATCCAACATTTTAAATACTTATATACTTATACTGCAATAAATTGATCATAAGTGACTGTAAAAGATCTCTATTTTAAATAAATGCTGTTCTTTTGAACCTTCTATTCATCAAAGAATCTTGAAAACAAATGATCACGATTTCCACAAAAATAAAAAGCCGCACAACTGTTTTCATCATTGATAATAATAAGAAAAGTTTATTGAGCACCAAATCTGCATATTAGAATTATTTCTGAAGGATCACGTGACACTGACAACCAGAGTAACCCCTGCTGAAAATTCAGCTTTGCATTACAGGAATAAAACGATTACATTTTAAAATATATTAAAATAGAAAACAGTTATTTTAATTTGCAATAATATTTGACAATATTTCTGTTTATTTGTCGAATAAATAAATTTAATAATTAAAAACATAAAGAAAAAATCTTTAAAAAAAAACAAAATTTTGAATGGTAGTGTATATTTGAAGACACATATGCAGAAATAATGGCCTGAGAATGATAAACCTGTTATTATTCCTAGTGGCTTAGTTGCGCTAAATGAAGAAATATCGGTCAAAAGGATACATTACTTTAACATGACTTCATAATTTAGTGGAATTTGTTAATTCTAATTTAATATCATGTTTATTTCTAAATGTTATTGATGTGTGTTTGTTTGTGTGTATATTTTGTAGTTAATGGAATATTAGGCTTCAATTTTTCCCAACTGAGGAGAAACCATCAGCAAAAACCCAACTGTCTGTCAGTCAAGCTGGAGGTGTGTCTCCTAAGCCACACCTGCTTTCCAACAACCACGCCCCCTCTCCCCTCCCCCTCGAGGGTCGTTTACATGTTACCGCACATGGACCAGAGAATTCAAGCATTTTGCTAAAGGTCATCACTTACACCAAAACCCGTGGGCCATTCGCATATATGGACAGTATTAAAAGGAGTGTATTTTTAACGTTCTTTTCTGTTTCTTTTTTTTTTAAAGCTGTTTTGGTATGCATTTTAAATGTATAGATATGTAAAGAGAATCACCTTTCCCCAAGTCTGTACTGTATTTTTATGTCTATTTATGTGTGTGCAATATATCAAATTTTGAAAGATAAGAATGTTAATATTGAGCTTGCTATTGTTCTGGTGATGTACATATGTCGTGATCGTTCAGATAAAAAATGATAAAATAAAAATGTTTAAAAAAAAAACTTTAAGAAACTTTTAAAAACACATACTTTAAATTCTGGCTTATGGCAAAATTTAAAATTTTAGTAAATGCTGTCAAAAAGCTTTGTTTATATTCGCTAGCTTACAATGTTTGGCTCCTTAAAGATTATGATTTACTTTACTTGATTTAAGAGAACTGCAGAATACTATGGACTGTATGTTTACCTTTATGTCATAGAATATGAGAAAAAAAACAGATATCAAAGAGAATGTAGCATATATGATACATCAAATATTGACAAGCATTGGGTAATGCATGGAGGACTATTTTTTGAATGACCATGCTGTTTTGTTTATGTTGTGTAATTCATGGTTTCCTTATCAAATTGTTTATTTCTTTCAATATCATAAGGATCTGATATGGTAATGATGACAGCGTTTATCATCATGACCCAACATATCTAGAAGTATCACCCTACCTTCAGATCTATGTAGCTTAATTTTCCTATATTGAGTGGCTGTAAAAATATTATCCTTTGACTTTATATCATGGCTGTATGAGAAAAAGAAATATAAGTAGCTTATGAGAAACTACATGTATCATTTTCACACATATTTGTGCTTTTTATTTACCCTGACATTATTTTCGCCCCTTGGCATGAAGAGCGAAAGTGAGCCGAGCCTGATTTACAAGCATGCACACTGCCCTTAGTGGCGACTCAGTGTCTGTGCGCCACTTAATCGGAAGCTGATCTCATAGAAGGTGATGTCGCAATGGAACGGTCTTCCTCGAGGAAAAACCTCACCACTACTGGACTATGCCAACACCATGCTTTCCGTTTTCTCCGTGTTCCCTTTTCTCTTCTTAAAGACATTTCCTCTGCTGATACTTACAGAACCTCAATGCCAATATGAGGATGTGAACTACATAATTCGTTGCCATGGTGGCGCTAGCAAATCAACATATTTAATGAAAAATTCAATAAATGTGTGATATGTACTGTATGCATGGTCATGTTTCAATTTCCTCTTCAAACACAACCATAAAATAATGACCATAACGTGACACTTATACACTTTTATTCTCGTTCAGCCATATACACACACTGCAGCCAAGGTATAGTGTTTAAATGTCTTTTTTAAAAGTCATATAGTAAACTAATACATGCCTTTAAGGATAGATATTTATGTACTATATATATGCATATTCTTATCTCCACAGACACAGAATGCGGATTCAGTAAATCAAACGTGGGCCAGTCACAGTGAAAGTAGTAGCATTGTTCAAATGAATGACATTGCTCAGTTTAGAGGATGACTTTTAATGCTGTTCCAGGGCCAGTTTCCCAAACCCAAATTATTATAAGGGGGAAAAAAGCATACACTCTAAAAAATGCTGGGTTAAAAAGGGACAAACCCATCTATTGGGTTGTTTTGCTAACACAGCTGTATTAATCTGCAGTTAAAAAGGAACTTCCCAATATTCTGAACTGAAGCCAACCTGTTATTTGAACCGTAAAGAGAATATTCCCACTTATGTTTCATGACACACACAAAGTATCTAAATGAAATACATCAAAATAAAAACAATTATTAAAAAAAAAAACATACATCCCTTATGCTCACTTCCGAAACCAGTAACATATTTTAAAAGCGTTCACCATCATAAATACCTCAGAGCAAGATTCCTCGACACATACTGATATTGAGCAATATGTACAGAACAAAATTAATATAATTTGAAAATAAAAATCACATTTTTGTTTTCACACACACTCAAACACACATACTCAAAAGAAAAGAATACATTCAGAAAGTTAAAAATAGAATCATATGCATAACTTAACTGATCACTTGAATTTGATTCCACCTTTGCTTCCCGAGTCCCTCTTTAAATGCTTGCTAAATTAAGTTTAAAACCATAAGCACATGTTAATGTGTTCTATTGCAACAAAAAGCTCTACTGAAATGTGATGATAATGATGATGATGATAGAACTGCTACAGATCACAGACACAAAGAGAGGGGTGAGACGAAAAAGACAGTCGTCTAACCATAGAAAGAATCTGTTATTAATAAGTGACTGCTGCTAGCTAAGCATGCCTGCTAATATCCATACAGGTGGCTAATGTGATCTACTGTCATTTTAAAAATGCATATTATATATACTCTCCATGGACAGAATACACAGACACACAATACCCCAACAGCTGATAAAGAAGGCAAGAAGTTTTCAGACATCTCAACTGTTGAGATCAAAAGAGCATGTCATGATGTGGCGATATAATGCAACGATATTCAAAAGTTGTGGTAGGCAGTGCAGTACAGGTTCTGTTAGTTCAAGCTTAAAGGTTCTGAGTATGAACAACCAGGACTTTTTTTCTGTTTTGATAAAAGCTTTTTTGGTTATTGTGATTTCTTTTATTCGTTTGTGTTCATTATTTCATTTGTATTATAATTGAGGGATTAGGAAAGGAAAGGAAAGGACACCAGTTGGTCACAATGAAAGACAAACAGATAAACATTTGTGGTAAACTGGGGAAAATAAGGAGAGAGAAAATATTGTCTGTTGCCTTAAACTGGGCGAACATCCAGTTTGACTGGACAGGAAGACTGAAAGTGGCAGGAGTGAAGTGCACTCTGGGATTGCATGAGCATGGTGCATAGGAGTGGTTAGGAGGGCGGACAGGCTCAAAGAGAGGAGCGATGGAGATAGGGAGAGGAAAATGAAGGGGGGAAACCATCACTCGGACTTCCCTTCAGCTTTCTTCCTCTCAGTCGTTTTGGGCACAGTAGTGGTGAATGAGGTGATGGAGGTGATGCTGTAGGTTGTCATGGGGCTCAGACCGATCATCTATCTGCTCCACGCACACCCGCTTCTGTCCCCCAGCATCCCTCACTACTGACCTCATGTGGGTTCTAGACTTCTGCCTCCTCGTCCTGTGAGTGAGATAGAAAGAAAGAAAGAAAGAAAGAGGGCAGAAATCAATGCTTTTCTGTCCTTCCAAAAGGTTTCAAGAGAAAAAAAAACATGAAAATACCATAGTACTTTTTTAAAGTGTAAATTCAGATATCTTATAGGAGAGAGGAAAAAAAATTTATTAGAGAAAAATAAAATGTAAAGACATGCTTTGTTAATAAATATACACACATCACTGGCAAATATAGACATTCTAAACTCCCAATAAAATCTCTACAGGACATTTGTATAAAAATTACATACAGTACCACACATTTGGGTCAGATTTGTAAAAAGAGATTATTACTTTTATTTAGCAAGGATGCATTTAATCAATCAAAAGTTACAGTAAAGGCATTGTACATATTTTATACTGTATGTATATGTGTGTGTGTGTGTGTATATATATATATATATATATATAAAATTCTATTTCAACTAAATTCTGTTTTGAATTCTTTTGAATTTTCTATCCATAAAAGAATCCTGGACTAAGCAGCACAACTGTTTTCAACGGACAATAATAAGAAATGTTTCTTGAGCACCAAATCAGCATTTCAGAGTGATTTCTGAAGGACCATGTGACACTAAAGACTGAATTAACGGCTGCTGAATATTTAGCTCTGCCATCACAGAAGTATTACAAAATACAGTAGTATTTCTAATATAGTATTTCACAATATTAATTACAGTTTTTACTGTATATTTCATCAAATAAATGCATCCTTGGTGAGCATAAGAGACTTCTTTTAAAACATAAACTTCTTACTGACACCACACTTTTTGAACATAGTGTAAATATTTTTTCCCCTATACTTGCCCCCCATACACACACTGTCACACTAATATGCACACAAACGCCATGCCTGTCTCTCAAACCTCCTGATCACAGATCCATCAGGCTGCTGTATTTCCTGTTCTACCACTTGAGGGATCTGCACCTTCCTAAAACCTCCAAAGTAGCTTAGAGCCCGAGGGAATGAGGCACACACTACATTAACACTAAATGAACCCTGATGAAAAGGAGTAACTATTTGGGTATGATGGACCATACAGCAGAGAATGCCTTAAATATTCATGGCTATGTTCAAAATAGAATAGCACTATATTATCAGTAGTATTTCTGCAGCATGTGAATTTTCTGTTTGCATGGAGTACTTGGATGACCAACATTTGCAAAGAATAATGTATAACATGATGCAATGCACTTGACTTGACTGTTTTATTATAATCTCTTACGAATTTTTAATATTAATATTTTGACACAAAATTTGATAAAAAGTAAAATAACCATCTTTATTTCCAAGATGATCATGAATGCTGTAATACTATATTTTTAACAGTAGGCATGAATTCACAATAAACATTGTAATCACATGCAATGTAGTGAAATCATGTTTAATTGATTGAGTGGCATCCAGTCATCATCCTAGAAATGTAAACAATTTGTACTTTTTGTCTTTTCTTCTGTCAGTCTGATTTTAAATTATATTATTATAGTCAGAACAGATGTGCGTAACATATCAAGGTGATGAACTGGTACAAACTATGATAGAACTTTTGGCTAGAAAAATAAATATTATGGGCATAATGCTAGGACAGTGGTAATGCTGGAATGTTCTCCTTAAAATACTGCTAATCTTTAAAATCTGATGTTGTAAAAATGTCAGGAATGACTGCTGTGATTGGCAGCTCACCTGGGTGAAGTCATCCCGGGCAGAGGGCAGGTCTGTGGTGAGGAAAGGATCCCCCTCATGCTTTTCCAGCTGTTCTCCATGTATCATTGTCGTCCGGACCACCTGTCTGACCTCTTGGCCTACAGCAGATTCCCCCTTTGAAGCTAACTGAATGCGGTCTTGCTCATGGAAAGTCACCTGAAATAAAACAAAAGACGTTCAGCAAAACTGTTAAAATGCCCATATCTTTGAGTTAAGAGATTACATTAAATATAGATTAAGCTGATTTAGTTTTATTACGTTTTAATTAATTAATTAATTAATAGTTTCATTACATGATTAAGTAAACAAAGTATTACACACCTCTGTCTGATGTCCTTCACTCTTCAGTACTGTCCTCTTTATTACTTTCGAGTATCCGTCCCCCGGTGCCACGCTGATAGGCTGCTGGGCGGAGCCCTCCACCCTCACCTGCTCTGTCTCCACCCCATCAGATGACACACATCGTCGAATGACCTTCCTGGTCACCTGAGAAGGTGAGAGAGCGAGGTAAACAAGTCTGATTGGATATGATGTATTGGTTGATTAGATGGATGGATGAAAGGGTGAATGGATGACTGGTAGTTGACATGTAATTGCAAAGTTACTTATAGTTGGTAGAATCTCTAGCAGTGGACTATCAAAAAGTGTTTCCAAAGATGGATGGATGGATGGATTAAAGGAAGGATGGACCACAAGATGGATAATGGGTAGATGGATGGACTTAAGGGTGAATAAATAGATGGCTGGATTAAAGGATGGATGAATGGATGTTTACCTTCTTCACAACCAAGTTTCCCTGTGCATCTGTGTACTGCTCTTCTGTTACCGACTGTGGAGGAACATCTGAAACATCATCACCCTGTAGAAGAAACCAGATACTTAATACATGTCAATGGCTAAAGCAGTGTTCACCTTAACAGGAAACAGCTGCCCCAGCTTGGATAAAGGTTAGGGTTAGCATAAGAAGAATAATAAAGAAATAATATTGAAAATATTCATCTAATATAGAAAGGAGTACACTTCCCGTAGAAGTTGTCCATTTTAGGGTGATTAAGGGTCAATAACTCTAGAAATATACTATATGGGATATGTTCTTAGTTTAAAATGGACAACTTATACAAACCATTGAGAAGCAGGGAGGTTAAGTCACAGCTGAAAATGCAGGATTCTAAAATCGAGTCAGTTTCCGAAATAAATCTTAAAGTTACACGAAAAACCGTCACACAGCATTTTGGTAATAGGTTATTCAGTAAGCCTAGGCCAAAGTTATACACCAAATGTATGTTAAGAAACACCACAATAGCTTTCACACTGAACCTCCAAAATGGAGCAAGCAATCTTGAGTCACAGATACAGTATACCTGAATAATTAATCTCCTTCGCACCACTCTGGTGGTCAGCACATCCTCATCAGAGCTATCTGACAGCACACCTAATGCCTTGCCAATCTCCTAACCACGCAGTATGTATGAAAAATCATGCAATAATATAAGACAGAAATGCACATGAAATGTCTAAAACATAAAAATAAATACATTTGACAAATGCAATGCTGCCCCCTCTGCTAAAATACCATAAGACTAAACATTATTAGAATCTGTCAATCAAATATCAATAAGACAAATGGCTATTCTTTTTTTTAAATCAAAAACACAAGAGAAAAACAACAGAAGGGGCAACAAAACATTGTTAACTTGACACAACATGCACCATTTTTTAAACAGATTTCTCGTATAAAACAATTGTGTGGTAAGAAAGTTACTTCAAAACCAAAAGCAATCAGTTGCTTAGTTGTTAGTATAAATATCTATGAAAAAAAAAAAAAAAACTCTTAATTGTTATATATATATTAAGATATAGTTATTCCTTACTTACAAAATCCTGCATATTTAGTATATGACCTTACAATGTCATAAATGTAGTACATGCATCAGCAATATTTGAACAAGCTGACAGCTATTTTGATGGTGTTAAGGCATGAATGTAACATGATCATGTTTTTTTTTTTTTGCTTAAGCAAAGGTTTTTCAGGTTTTAAAATCCACCTAATTATTGAAAATGTTTATTCAAAGAAACCAAACACCATCCCTTCAGCAAACTCATTCAGCAGGAAATGGATTAGGGTAGCTCAGAGAAGAATGGGTGGAGGGGGGAGGTCATGCTGAGGACGCTTACCCTCCTCAGATCATCATCATCATTATACTCAGCCCCTCCTCGAGGAGGAAGCTCCTGAGGAGTTCGTGTAGAAGATTCCAGACTTTTCTGCTGACATGGAAAGTAAACATCTTTCTCCTCTGCATCATCATTGGGTTCGTGGATGATGGAAGAATCCTCAAATTCTTCACTGTCTGATGACCTGATTGACCAACGAGGGTTCTCATGGGATGGCATATATCCTGAAGGACTTCTGACATTTGGTTGTTGTTGTAATTCATGAACAGTCAACCTTAAGACTTCATTGCTCAGCGCCATGGCGCCTTTCCAAGGATCATCTTCTGCTTCAGAATTGTCTGAGATGGTCTGTTTGCAGTCGAAAAAAGTCTCAAGGTCAGAGTCATCATGTTGTTGATCAATGCTTAGTAAGTCTTTGTGTTTTGGTTTTTCAACTTTGCCAGGTTTTGGCACGTCAGGGATTTCTAATTCCACATTTTCACTAGATTTGGGTGACTCAATTGATATTTCTTCAACTGTTGATTGTAGTTCTCCTGTGAATGAGTCTTGGGATACACCAAGAACTAATGAAACACTCACCTCGGAGCTGAGAGTTTGATCAGATAATGGCTGTTCTGGTTGAACGGTTTTCTTAAGTTCCTCAAGCACTGAATTCATGCTGATTACCAAGGGTTCCGAAGAGTCAGAAAGACAATGGGCAGAGTGTTTTTCCTCTGATTGTTTGGATGCTGCACCAGACATAACGGAGTATGACAACAGTCGTTTGGAATCTTTGGAAGTTAAGGCCTTGTCACTGCCATCTTGAGAGAGTGGCAGAGTTAGTCCTGTCTCCTGGGAAACAGGTTCCTTAAGCGCTGGATTCATGTTCAGAGTGAGCATCAAGGGTTCAGAGGACTCTGAGAGACACCGGTTAATATGCTTTTCTTCTGACTGTTGGGTTGCACTACAGATTATTGACTCCGACTGCAGTCGTCTTAAACCTTTGGATACCACTGCCTCCTGTGAAACAGGTTTCTTAACAGTTGCTGATCCAAGTTCAGAAGACTTCTCACTGAAGTCAAAATGTTGACAAGTTATGACTGTTTCTGGTGTTTGTGGACTAAGGTCAGAGTTACAGAAAGGTGAAGATTCACTCAGCTGTGCAGTTTCGCTTTGAATCCACATGTATGGGTCAATCTCAGATTGGGACAACAGTTCTTTCTTAAAGCCATGACGGTCATCTATGAGAGGTTCAGTGGTTAAATCCAATTGTGTACATACTTTTCCCTCCTCAGGACAATATTCATCTTCCTGATCATCACAATGGACCCCTAATGTTTCTGGCTTTTGCTCTGGAGACTCTAATAGTTGCAGATGTGGTTCATGTGCATCGGAATCAACTTCAAGCTCTGAAGGTTGCTGTGGGGAGCTGTTGGAATTACATTGTTCTTGGTTTAAAACTGTGATCTCATGATGGGTAGATGATTGCAGTGATGCAGAGTCAATTGTAGGAGAGGATTCAACAAAATTTTGTTCTTCTACTATATGGCTTTGCAATGATGGCACTGGATCCAAATCACTAAGCATTTCTGGTGTAAGAAAGAGCTGATCTGATTCTGGAGAGCCCTTAATGAGGTCTGGAGTCACTCTTGAAACCCCTGGATTCACTTCAACACTGTTTGAGACAGCTTGAACAGCCTCCCTTACAAGAGCATAAGGGGAAAATGAAGGACTAATATTTTGGCATATTATTTGATTGCTCGCAGGAACTGAAAAATCAACTTCAGATGGTTTGCTTTCATGACATGGAGAAGACTGCATGGTGTCTGAAGTTTCATCAGATTCAAAGAGATGTGCCTCTAATGATTTTTCATTGCTTTCCAAATCACTTTTTTCATATACAGGTGACACTTGATCAAGACACACAGAACTTTCATCTTGATACTTTTGTTCTTGGAGTTGAGTTTCTTCTTGACTCACTGGTGAAGTGTGTTGAAGTAGGTCGGGTACTGTGTGTTCAGGTTCAACTGTTGACAAAACAACTGAATTTTCACCTGAAGACAATTTCTCAATAGATTCCTGACAGAAATCATAGATATTCTGAGATTCCTTCGTTGATTGTTGGTGGAATTCTGACTGAGTCTTCACATAGATTGGTGATGAAGAGAGACAAACATTTTCATGGTCTGAAACGTCACACTGAGCTTGATTATCCTCCTCAGATTCTGCAGAAACCTATGGGATAGATTATACGAGGTATGGAAAAGTATGACAAGGGAAAAGAGATGATATTGAAGGGATACTTACAACCTGTGAGAGACAAACAACAAACCAAAACAGCACATGCGATGATCATGAGTTCAGTTTAGAAACTGTCTGTACTGGGCTTGAGACATTTGGGACATGACCCTCTGATTAAGTTTTAAATGCACAATGCCATGAACTTACTTCTTCATCTGCGGCTTCCTTTGTGGATTCATTTTTGACCTCTTGAAACAGCCATGGATTGGTGAAGCTGTCCCTAGGAGACATTGAGAGTGGAAAGTGAATGACCAGGTGGTGTACTACCAGAAGACTGATTAACTGAATGTTTCTGATAATGTAAACATTACTTTAAATGTCGTTTCAAGTATGTCAATCTATGTATCACTCACTGGTTGATCTCCAATTCTTCAATCATATCTCCATGAATGCTCTCTGAATGAATGTTTCCCATTGTTTCAGCCCATGAGGGAATGTCAAGGAGAGAGGCCACAGATAAGTCTTCTTCTGACACAGCTGGAGGATGCCTTTGTGAAGTCTCCACTCTCCAAACAACATGAACACTGTCACCATCCTCTTGGACTGAGGAGAGAGCTACAAAACGCAAAAACATTCACTCTGACAGTGTAAAGACTTTGACTTCATGGCCTGTTTTTAGGATTCATATCTTGTGTTTTAGATCTATATGCAAAACAAGAATGGGCTTAATTCATTGCCCTACCTTCACTGTGGTCCAGGGTCCTTTCAATCTCTGCATATGTTCTTGAGGTTTGCTCCTGGATTGACTTGTGCATTTGAATCTCAATAAGATGGACAATGTCCATGCGATTTATTTTAGTGAGTCTTTTAATCAACGTATCTTCTGTGGAATGTGAAACATAATCAGAATTTATTATTTAAAATGGACTTTAGGCATTTGAGTTTTTTACACATTCTATGATTTCATTTTCACAAGTATATAAGAACAGGAATTACCAGTTGCATGCTTTCCTTCTCTCTCTGTCCAGCGCTGTAAAAGAGCATGACTCTGCTCTTGTAGTGAATTTGGGTTTTCAGCGCGCACTCGCTGAATCTCATCTTCATTAAACTCCAACTCTTTGGCCAGCTCTAAAAATAGATTAATATATATGTTGTTAAAAAAGAAACATATACACTTACGCATTTGCATCATGTTGTTTTAATGTGAGTGGTGCTTACTTGCCACCAGGATGCTAGAGTTTTCAGATCAGTTGCTACAGTGTTGCTGTGCTGTTGCTATGGTATTCTGGGTGGCTTTTAGTATGCTGTTATGTGGTTACTAGGATGCTCTGAGGGGTTCCTAGGATGTTTACCAGCCCAAACCCTTTTTTTTTTTTGGTAAAAACTGTAGGAGGTAGTCAGTGATCTGACTACTTGATACTGCATACTCACCTGTCCAGCTAAAACCTAAAAGGTCAGCAATGATGGCCAAAGTCTCTTCTTTCCTATCTGCATCATCATGCCAATCCACTGTAAACATCAGTCGAAGTATTTTTCATTAATACTTAATAAAACGCATAAAAAATAAAAAATAAATAAAAAACTTCAAACATCAAATTCCTTTTTATCTGCTATATATACTACTTGGATTATTGAACTATTTCTGACTCTGTATTATGGGATGTGCACTCAAGATATTTGAGATATTATGCAAATATGTGAGTGGAGTTGTTAAGTCTTTATCTCTGTGTAAATCGCTTAAAAAATTCATTTAAACTTCTAAAGGTGGCAGCAAAAAAATGCTAATTGAAGCTAGGTTGTTGTAGTTTTACATATTTCTTATTAGAATGAATGTATGGACTACACAGTGACTGAAGATCTGTTAAAATAGCATATGCCTTGTGTAAAACTTTTTACACAAAAAAAGTACCGTTGACATGGTTGTTTTATTATTTCTAATAGGAAACATGCAGTAGTGGGCATGCATTGCACAGGAAACTGTATTATTAGCAAAAAAGTGTAATCAATCTTGAGATTTCAGTTCATGTACACACTGATATGCAAATGAATAAAACATGATATAAAAAGACACAAAACATGACACATAAACACACAGACATACACACAAGAAAACACTGAGATGAGACAAAGTACAGCACAAAACACCAGACAACACAGAACAAGAAATAATAATAATAATTTTTTTTAAAAATCAAAAGCAAAGAGACTTGCATGGATCAAATTTTGGAGTAAGTAATACGGGGGCAAGTGCCAAGTAGAGGTACCTTTACTTTGGTCTGGGGTAGTGCTGTCTGAGATTCTCTGCATCTGTGTCTCCACACAATCTTCCCAGTTGGGCCTTGACTCAAAGACATCATCGCCAATGGACGGGGGTCGAATTGATTTCAAACTACTTTCTCTCCCTAACTCAATAGAAGTTATCTCTCCTTTGGTTTCATCACACTCTATGCTCCCTGAAGGGTCCAAATCCTGAGAGAATTCGGCAGGGAGTTCAGGTTGACTGGAAACAGCATACTGTGGGTTAGGAGACTGTGTGGGTGAAACAGGCATCTGGGAGGATGAAGTCTTTGGTTTGGTGTAGCTGCTGTTTATATAAGTGTGACCTTCCACAACGGACCTGGACCATTCTGAGTCACCAGTATCTGCTTCAGATTTAGGCCTTTGATTCTGCTCGATGGAGTCCCCTTGTCCTAAAATTTGGTCAAAACTGGCTGCTTTCACAGCTATTTTTGGTTTAGATGTTGTGTCTTCAATTTCAGCAACAATGTCCTTGGATGGAGTGTACATTGAAGGTAATGTAGTATAGATTGAAGCACTAGGGGAAATTGTAGACACATGGGTGGATATGGGCATTTCAACAACAGAATGCTGTTCATCTTCCACTGAAGAGTCAGAGGATTCCGGGTCTTGCTCAGAATAAACTGTTCGTGTTACTGTATAAGTGGCAGTGTCAACATTCGGTATCAGTGTGTCTTCATGGATACCATTATCCTCTGTGTGGCTCTTTGGTTCACTTTGGATAGGAAAATCATTCCATTCTGGGTGTTCTGGTTGAACACTTTTAGTTCCAGTTTTACTAAAGCCATCAGACTTTGCATCAGGTTCCTCAGTAATTCTGTCTTGATGCACTAAACCATCTGCAGGCATCCCAGATGAAGCTACTGCAACAAACTCACCAGCACTGAAATTGACCTGTTCAAATTCTTCACTTGAATCTTCATTTATTGGAAAAAAGACTAACCTTTCTTCTTCTTCCTCCATGGTCCTTTTGGTCATGTCAATAGCACCACCTCTGGTCATCTCAAATAGTTTTCCCTCTTGGAAGAGGAAAGGATTTGGTGTCCCCTCTTCAGTAGGGGTGCGTCCTGGAGTTGTGTCAGGTGTGGTTCCATGGGAACGTCTGTCTGTAAACAAAGCAAGTATTTTCTGCTCCTCAGCCTCAATTTTTGCATCGAATGCCTCGTCATCTTCCACTTCAGCACTCCAGGGAACCAAGTCTCTTGGAATAGATACTGGGATTTCTTCTGGCTTCTCTTCATTGTCCTCTTCATGAATACATAAATCTGGCTGGAATTCATCCTGCACTTGCTTTGTAGCAGCAGTTGCACCTACACTGTCGATGGGAGAAACTGGTTCAAGTAGTTTTTCAGAAGTTGTGCTCTCACCAGTAGACTTAGAATCAACATCACCATCCATCTCAGTGCCCATTTTGCTCTCTGCTGATGTAATAATAAGATCCTCCTCAGTTATAGTCTCACTAATCACTATACTATGGCACTCTGAAGGGAACTTGTCTTCTTCGTTCTCTACATATGTTTGCATAGATGGTATGCCTATGCATGTCTGCAAATCAACAATCTTAAAATTGGTATGTTCCTCCGCACCTTTGTCCGTGGACTCTAAAACCTCAGTGGTTTCTCCTGAAAGCTTGTGAGTTGATTCATCCAACTCAGGGCTGTCATAATCATCTTCTGACAATGAAGAATGTAAGGGTAATACTGGGCCAGATTCAGTAAGGTTCTCCAAGTACTGCTCTTCTGATTCTTTGGTTAACATTGTGTTAAAGTCTAGTGGACTTTTATGTGGTGACAGCACTTCTTCATCTTTTGGTTGTTTATAACCACAATCAAAATCAAATTTGACCTTTTTAACTTTTGAATCCTTTTCCATTTCTTCAAATGTTTTGATCTTTGCAGCCATCTTAAACATCTCTTCTTCTGGAGTGAATTGCTTTTGTAAAGTGTCAAAGTCATGAAGATAGTCACTGTCAAGCACCTTTTCTTTTTCCCCCAAGTCCATGGAAAGGCACTGCATATCTGATGTCTCATGTGACCCTTGGGATGACTCACTTTCTAAATAAATGTTTTGTTTAGAAACTATTTCTTTTTCTAAATTTTCCCTGGAGTCAGAAACGAAAGCCTGACTTGTTGAGAAGTCCTTTGTCAACAAACGACTTCCCAGTCCTTTGTCCCTTGTCCTTTCAGTATAACTCAGTTGACCAGATTCTTGCCCAGTGGGACTTCCCTCTAAAGAGTCTTGACATGGGGAGTCCTTGGTTGGGCTTGGCTCAATAGAATCTGGGGTTTTTTGGGATGATCCATCTTCTCTGATGGGAGTAGTCTCAAGCGAGTCTGTTCTACAAAGAGATTTAGAGTCATTCATGGTTGCAAGCTGCAGAGAATCCAAGCTAGAAGGTCTCTCTGGTGCATCTTGACTGTGATGACTATGTTGTGGTATCTTCTCAGACTCAGTAATTACATCTGATTCAGTCGGCTTCATACTATCTTTACAGCTTAAATCACTTTTCATATAATTTGCTGATGTTTCACTCTCCCATTTCGTAACTTGAATTTTATCCTGAATTATTGTCTTTGAAATAGCAGAGGATGGTGACTCAGTTCTGGTGGATGGAGAAGGTGTATCCATCTTAGAATCATCATTGGATGGCGACTCAATCTTGGTGAATAGAGAAGGTGATTCAATCATAGTATCATAAGTTGATTCAGTCTTGCTTTTTATCAAGGTTACTAAACATGATTCACTCTCCGCTCTTTCATGTGATGTCTCCAAACTTGACTGGTGAGTTGTTTCCTGCTCCTCTGGATATCTGTCTTCTGTTTCTTTATTAGTTGAACTGAAAGATAAAACAAGGATTTCAGGACTATTTTGAGGGGTTTCAGCAAGTCCCTCATGTTTCTCATTGTCACCTGTGCTGGAGTGAGGAGTCCTTGTCCTTATACTATTGGCAGGAGAGTCTGCCAGGGCCTTGAGTTTGTCACTATCAGGACTTTCTTCCAATGCTTCCAATGCTCCATCATGCATTTCACTTTGACATAAGGGCTCACCTTGCACCATTGCAGTAGCAAATGCAGTGATTATGTTTGATTTACTTGGATCCACAGCTGCCTGGTGTATCTGCTCCTCATCTTCTAAAGAAAGGCCATCACTACACATTAAATAATGTTTACTTGCTTCATCTGAAGTTTGCCTAAAGATCAGATATTTAGGACTGTCCTCAAGTTCTGCCTTAATATCTGCACTGAAGTCCTCTGATGGTTTCCTGTCTGGGCTGATCTGAGGCTCCACAGACAATCTTCTGATCTGACAGATGTTTTCATAATACATTCTCTCAGGCATCAACCCCAGGTCTTCATTAACTAACAGTTCAGAACAAATCTGTTGTTCCTCAGTTTCAAATCGTCCTGGTTCATGAGATGGTTTTCCATTTTGGTCATTTGCTGTTTGTTTAGAGAGCAGGTTTTCTGGAGAGCTTTCCTCTTCAAATTTAAATATAATGTTGGAAGTTACAGCTTGATCACCTTCATTCTGAATGGTCGTCAGTGGTTTTTCATGTAGTGTTTCACTATCATCAATCATTGGTTTATGCTGAATTGTGTTTGGGTCAATACATGATGATTCCTGAAGGATCTTGTTTTCTACTATAATGTTTTCTTGTAAATGTAGGGTTGATTCTGTATTTTGGTTATTGTATGTTGGAGGAATCTGCATCACATCAGAACTTGATGATTCAGAGGTTACAGTTGTAATTGCTCTTTGTTGTAAATGTTGGGATGATCCTGTCATTTGACTATCATATGTTGGGGGAATCTGCATCACATTAGGACTTGGCGTTTGAGTTGTTGCTGTCATTTGGTTATCATATATTTGGGGAACCTGTATCACAACAGGCGTAATTGCTTTATGTTCAAAAAGTCCAGACTTGCTTTTCGATGGATCCTGGCCAGTCTGAAATGCCTTCATCAACTCTCTTACAGACATTGTTTCTTCTATCCTTTCCGTCTGTGACTTTGGGGATCTGGGGGATTTTGGAGGAAGGTTGGGTGATTTTTCTGTCTCTGTGACATATGACTTACTATGGGAAGTACTCGCTTTTTGGGATTTACACTTTTGACTGTCCACCTCATTCTCTTCTTCAACCTTCTTCTGCAGTGCCTTAACCCTGTCCTTAATGGATCCAATCGGAGTTTCTACAATTCTAGGAGACACAGGAATAGATCCAAAGACAGGTTCAGATCCACCGATAACTGCATCTTCATCAAGAGACTCCTCAGACTGACTCCTACTCATACTTTCCAAGTCATCCTCTGAACTGCCACTTGCAAACTCCCTCTCTTTACGCTTTTTCCTTGCTGGCTTTTTGATTTCTTTTGGACGGGGTTTACCATGTGTCACAACAACCTCTTTAAAACTTTCTTGAACACTATCCACATCTTGTGAATCACTAAATGGTACAGATGTTTCCTGCAGGCACTGTTCTAAGTCACTGCTGAGATACGAAACCATACTTGAAATATCCCTCTTAGGTGAAGAACTGGATATAGTGTCTCGTGGGATTCTAACTTCCTGAATGAGTACCTCTTGGAATTCAGTTATATTTTTGCTTTTGGTTTCCACAACATCTGTCTCACTGAGAAGTACCCACTCCTCATCATCAATGGTTACAGATCTCCCAACAGCACCTTCCCTCTTTGTATGATCCTTTGTATCATCACGAAGGATCTCTTCTACCTTCTCTAAGTCCTCTTTCACTTTTTCAACAATTTCAAACGGCTCATCCACTTCCTCATCCACAGCCTTGTCAGATCGCTCTCCGACATCCAAGGAGCAAGATTTTTCAGAGGTCAGAAGGACTGACACCTTAATCAGGTCCTGCTTCATATCAGACACCTCTGAAAGCAGATCTGGACTTGCAAGTGTGGCAGGATCATGTATGATTTGCAGCGTGGAAAGCTCTGTTGACTCAGATCCATCATAATCTTCCATTTTAACAGCACAAAGAGTTTATAAAGAACAAAGGGGGAAACGAAGAGGACAAAAGACATTGGAAAGCTAGTCAGGGCAGGAGCAATACAAACTGTCTTCATTTCAGAAGTTGAGGAAACTAATTGACAGAATGAAGAACATTGCTAGATTTATCTAGATTTGGATCCGAAGGATTTGGGAAGGCATGGGAGCAGTTAAGCAAAGCAAAAGAGAATTACAGAGTGAAGGGAGGAAATGGGCAGGAAATAACTTGCTTAAACATGTTATACTGATTCAAGTATCCACTCATCCACTTACACAAGAGGGAAAGTATAAAGAAAAAACAAAGGATAAGAATAAGTAATACAGAAACCTGTGCACAAAGGACAAATGAGGAAAGTAATCATAACACAGAGTGGAGCTGTACCAATGAGGCATCTCAAGATTGTTCTCGACATGAAGAGCTCATGTCAACACACACACACACACACACACACAGATAGCATTTCAAAACAATATGCCCTTAAAACAGTACTGAGATACAATCAGAGGCTTTTCCCATAAAACACTTTCAAATTATTAAATGCTATGGCTTTTTTAGTTATGCAGAACTTTGAGTCAATCATGGAGTTGTTTAGCATATGGGAAATTGTTATAAGACTGTGGTAAATGATAAGGAAACTTTAGGAAAACAATTAACACAAAACAAACAAAGAATGTGAGTGATAGGGATAAAAATGTCACACAAATTATGCATATTTTCAAAAAATATATATCCTCGCATTCAGGCAGACACACTCACACACATACATATACAATAATATAATATGTGTAAGTCAAGTTATTTCCATGCAAAGGAAATGATCCATGCAAAGGTGACACTTGTGGCAAGCAAATTAAGTGGTTTTAATACAGGCAAAATAATATGTGCCTGCCTGGTCAGTATGATTTTGTTTTTAGGGAGAATGGTTTGTTTCCAGTATCTCTTTTGGCATGTGCTGTAGTAACTTATTAAACATTTTAGAAACCATCATGCCAGAAGCAAGATACCATTGTGAGAGAACAGAATTGAATGTAATGTTTTATGAGAAGAGCAGACCATAAAAATAAAAATGGAAGAAGGTATGTTTATCAGCCATAGCACAGCAATCAGGGATCCACAGATTTTCTGTCAAATTTATTTCTGTTAACAATTTCTGTTAAAATCACTTATAAATATGTTTTTTATAATGCTTCAACAATATACTAATACATTAGTAACCTACAGTTTCAAGGTTAAAAAGAATGTGAGGAAAAAGCAGTGTATATTAATATATTTTTAAAAACAATTTACTTAAAAATTGCTTACATTTCTCATGTGTCTTCTCGCTCTATAAAGAAATTAGATTGAAACAGAGAAAGTTAATACAATGGAAAATACAAAAATATCTCTTTTCCAAAAAATTCAAAATAAATAAAACATAAAAAATTAATTCTTTAAAGGTGTAAAATACGTATTTACCTCCTCATCTGCATCTTGATCAGAATCAGATTCCTTAAAAAGTAAAAGAAGAGTAAAAAAAAAATCAACTGCCAGATTGAATTTTACTAAACGAAATATATTTTGAATAAAAGGTACTGGCTTTTTGTTGTGTCTGTGTATGGATATATTTACAGTGTGTGGTTGTGAGGCAATATAGTGTTTCACTTACCTTTGAGTAGACAGGTAGGCAGATGTTCAAATTGCATATTGCATTGTGGTTTGGACTGCGATATGTTCTTGGCTCTTTTGTGAAGGACAACCTGCCACATGGTTCTTGAGTGCAGTCACGAATCTGTTGAAACAACCAGTCTGTTACTAAGTCTAAGTGAGACTTGCACAATACTGTGGCATCACAATAGTTAAACTAGTAGGGAACATTGTGGAGGACTGTCACAAATTTGTTTAAATATCTATAACTCAGTGCCTTATTGTGCTACAGGCCTCAAACTTTGCTATAATAGCTATATAGTTATCTACTATGAATAGTACTACAAATAATAACTTACTTTGATAAAGAGAGAGAGACGGTTTTCCTTAAAGGCATAGAAACTGAACACATGGTGCTGTCCACTTTTGGTCAGTGGGACCAAATTTCCAAAGCAGTCAGCAAAGATTGGTTTTCCCTCTAGTAGCTGTAGAGATAAACCATACCACCATGTAGAAAAGGTTCTTCTCAATTGCATTAGCAACACTAGCTAAACCACACTTACCTCAACGTCTCGACTACGTGCCACCTCAGTGAAGTTCTCCTGCTGCTCCAGAGTTTTGTCCATCTTATCATCCGTCATACAGAAGCAGCGGAGTCTTGCTTCAATAGGGTCCAATGTCTTGGCAAAGATGACAAACTTGGCCATATAGGGAACACAGATGATCTCACGATACAGCTGACTGGAGAAGTTCACAGACTCCTGGATCTGACGGCAATCTATAAGCCAGAACCTGGGAGGAAAAACATGTATTTAACGATTTGTCAAGGGAAAGCAGTCAACAAACATATGTCACTGCAACTGAACTCACCTTGCTGATACATTAGTGGTAAACGAAACACACTGGTTGATGAATGTTAGTGGTGTGGATCCAGTTATGTCCTCCCATTGTGCTGGAGTCGTCCCACCTAGAAAAAGAAAATTATTAGAACAATTTACACCTTCTTATAAAGGCACTTACTTAAACAGGATTTTTTTTTTACTCTTTATTCTTGCATACCAGTAATACTACACAGCAGTCGTAGAGTGGGTGTACTGTTGGTCCCGTCACTGGTTGGGCTTTTAGGGACAGGGATAGTCATGGTAATGGGCTTGTGAAACTTGCGTCTTCTAGGCTCCAAAGTAACAATTGGGCTGAATGTAGCCTTATTCCCCAGGATCTTCCTCACCAGATCCTCACTGATGGGCTGGGCCTAATAAAGGATGAGATTGAGATGTAAGTGGCAGGATCTCATTTTCCTTTTCAGTTTCATTCCCCCTGCCTCTAACCAATTTAAGAGTAATATATTGCTAATTAAATCTTTTAGTGAAGAGCATATCTCAAAATTTTTTATGAACTTTTTTCCATTAAATCACACTTTTAATATTTCTTGGTATTTTCAATATGTATGGGAACCTTGAAATAAGACTTTAAAATAACAACACATTAGTATTACTTTTTCAGTGTACTGATAAAAATGTGTTATATTTACATAAAGAAAATTACTGTTACATTAATACATAGCTCAATCAAATCAGCTTTAATGACACAAAGAAGCCACTAAAAGTTGTTTGTGCTATTGATCTAGAGTAATAAATAATCATTGTACAGTGTGAAAATTGTCTAGAACAAGTCAAAAACAAAATAAGAAACCTCTTCTTTATACTTTATAAGGTCAATGATCAAGCTTGAGTGGCTTAGTTGGTTACCTGTAGCCCAACGCGTATCCGTTTAGTCAATGCTCCCTCTGGGAACACAGCCTGGACCTGTGGAACAAGTGTGCTGCTTAACAACCCGCCCTCTGGACCGATCAGGTGACTGTTCTGCTTAACGCGAGACACCACTGCAAAGTATTGTGGGAAATCCCGTGTGATGATGCGGCAGATTCGTTTTTTCTCCAGCTCCTCAGGAGTGTCCAGTTCTGGTGTGAAAATCATACGTAATATCTTATAACCAAGATATATATTTTTTTTATCCAATATAAAATTAGTTGATGATAACCATGGAAAATCACAAACAATATCTTATAACCAAGATATATATATATTTTATCCTATTCAAAATGAGTTGATGAGGAAAATTATGAATATGATTTAAAGCATGTATTAAATTAAATTGTTTAGGGTCTATACAAGTAAGTGTATTTAAATGGTGATTATGTTTGTGTGATATTGTCTCACACAGAATACACTTCTGGTACACTTCCAATCTAATCCAGAAGTCAATCACAGTTTCCACAAAATATTAAGCAGCAACTATTTTCAACATTGAACACCAAATCAGCATATTAGAATTATTTCTGAAGGAAATTATAAAATTGTAATGATATTTCTCAGTTGCTGTTTTGCCCTCGGTGAGCATAAGAGATCTTTCAAAAATCTTACCAACCCCAAAATTTTGAATGGTAGTGTATATGTGTTTTGCTCACAGCATTATAAACCAGATTACAGTTATATCTGTCTATCTAGAGCTTTTCCCTTTTTTTGAGGCACACCACTAGCTGAAGTTGATTTGAGTATAACAGCAAATTCAAGGTGTGTTAAATCATTTAAACATATGCCTCTTTGTGTATTTGGGACACACTCACCCTCGTCCATGCCATTGAGTATCTGATTCAGCTCCTCTTCTGTGTGCTCACAGTGATGTTCTCTCCAGCTCTCTCCTGTCTCACTGCGCAGAATCACTAACTCTCTCTCTGTCCCACGCAATGCAGCAAAGTGGGGGATCTCCACTATCACAGGCCTGAAAAAGGGGGTGTTATTTCAGCCATATGTACCACTTTAGATTTGTCAAAGTAAGGGTTGTTTAGAAACGGATATCGCATCTGTGGGGGACATAAAAAGAGGTAAATGTAGCATGCAGCAAGGTAGAAAAAGAGAGAAAACAAAACCACGGATAATGCAAAATACACCATACACAGAGCACACGACCAAAACAAGAAAATAACTCATTTAAAATCAAACGCTATCCAAAAGTCAACAAGGGAGGAAAAGGTAAATTCATGGAACACCTCTGTTTCGGAATGATAAAAACAAACTCAAGAAATTATAAAAAAGGACAAAATAAAAAGGATATGATATCTTACTGATATAACACAGATGGAGGTGTATTTAAAAGAATTAGGGGGATATGTGACCGGTATCCAGTGGATATTTGGATCTCTCCTACCCGAGGAATTTGGTCCCGGGTGGACCCAGCTGCAGAATTCTGCTGACAAGACTTTCACCCTCATTAAGAGGTGGAGGGGCTGTTGGGAGGTGGAGTTTACTGCTCCGATCGCAGCCATTAAAAAAGATGTAAAAAACAAGGCACACTGTGAACCTGATTTACTGAACTCAGATTTAGTGAGAGAGGAATATTGTTGTCATTCCTAAAAACTTGAGATGACGAGTGTCCTAACCAGGTGAGACAAACACTAAAAGCTCTTCCACGAGTTTTTGTCCTAACCAGCTGCGACATTTTGTTGATCGTAGGGTTCTATTTCTGAAGCGTCATGCCCAGCAGTGTTGTTATTGTTCTTCTTGTAAATCATTTTGGTTAATTAATAAAAAAAAAATGTAAATAGCGCGTAAAAAAAATAACTAAAACTGAAATCTATCCACTGAACCTCATTGGTCCAGAATTCACAAAATAAACATCAAACATCCTTTTATTGGCTGAGACTACATTACATTATATTACATGGACAGCTGTTTCAGCATAGACAAACAAACTGATTGTCTCTGGAAACTGGTAACATCGCTCCTGGTTAGGACACATCAAACAGGTTGACATACTGCGCTGCTTTGTCAGTCAAGACAAGACAAAATAGAGAACATATAACTGCACCATACACAAAGGTAAACAAAAATGTTCATGGTGATACAGCATACATTTAGACACCCCCTTACCCAAGAAACTGGGCTCCGGTGGGTCCAACTTCAATGAGCTTGCCTGCGAGCCCCTCTCCCTCCACCATAGGGGGCATAGAGGCAAGTCTGTGCCTCTTCACCAGACGACATGTGACCCGTGTAGGTGCTGAGCACTTTCTAGGTGGCACAATAATGCGTAGTCCATTGTGACGACAGCCACGCATGGCACCGCCACGGGCATCCACCATGAAACTGACCAGGAAGCTGTTTTCATAAAACAACAAGTGACAGTGAAACACACAACACAATGCTTAAAAGCTTCATTAAAAAAACACCGAAATGAAATATTGTAATAAATACATAAAGTGCATAAACACTTGTTTCTAAACTTACAGAAGCCACTTAGGCCATACAATATTCATTTTCTGTCTCTTTTTCTGAGGTTATTTTATAGGTTCCTTGGGCTTCCATATGTTTGTAAACAGTTAATCATTTTAATTCAATTAAATGCAATTCTCCTTGGTGCCATTCAAAATTACACACTTCACCCGAAATATTCCGGGTTCCAATAGTTTTCTTCTGTAATTCAGTAATCCCTGTTAAACCCTGAACACTCTTTTTTTTTATCTGATTGTGTTGCCATTATGTGTTGTACAATTATCATTCCAAAGTTTGTGGTCAGTAAGATTTTTCAAAATATTTTAAAAATACAGTAAAACAGTAATATATATATATATATATATATATATAGTAATATGTATAAAAATATTTTTACAATTTAAAATAGCTATTTTCTATTTTAATAAACATAAAAAAAATATTTTATTCCTGTGATGATAAAGCTGAATTTTCAGCATTATTATTCCAGTCTTCAGTGTCACATGATCCTTCAGAAATCATTCTATAATGCTGATCTGCTGCTCAAGAAACATTTATTATTATTATTATCAATGTTGAAAACAATTGTGCTGCTCAATATTTCTGAGGAAACCATGACACATTACTTTATAGGATTGATTTAATTGAATTTTTTTGTTACATTATAAATTACTTCTGATCAGTTTCATGCATTTTTAATGAATAAAAGAATAAATTTCTTAAAAAAAAGAAAAGAAAGAAATTACTGACTCCAAACTTTTGAATGGCATAAAATAATGTAATTTTAAGTGTTGCTTTATGTCTTGTAAAGTCTCCAAAAAAAATCTACAGATAATCTCTGGAGAAATTAGATAATTAAGAATGATAACTGTCTGTCATGCTTAAGAGATAAATAGATACAAAAAATACTGTAGGAGTTGAGAAACACAATGTGTCCAGTTTCATACCACCCATGTGAGAGATACTGAATAATACTGAATATTATTCATGGGGTTCTCTATGAATACTGAGACGTGACTCACTGTGTTCATGAAAACATGCTTATTAAAATTTTAATAGGCACAAAAAGGCTCATTTAAAAAGCTCAAAGCAGCCAGTTGTTATAAATGCATGCATTAATGTAATAAATGTAGATGAAGAGAGGAATAAAAGACCACAAGGAAGAGAAGTGGAGGATCACCTGCTGTTGTCATTGTCAAGGCATGGGGTAGATCGGCTAAAAGCAGAACAAAAGACACAATCACGAATAGCAGAGAGAGAGGCCGAGTGAGATGGGAGATGACGTGAGTGAAAGAAAGAAAAAAAGAAAGAAAGAAAGAAAGAACGAGGAAACTGACATTCCAAAGTTTGTGGTCAGTAAGATTTTTCAAAATATTTTAAAAATACAGTAAAACAGTAATATATATATATATATATATATATAGTAATATGTATAAAAATATTTTTACAATTTAAAATAGCTATTTTCTATTTTAATAAACATAAAAAAAATATTTTATTCCTGTGATGATAAAGTTGAATTTTCAGCATTATTATTCCAGTCTTCAGTGTCACATGATCCTTCAGAAATCATTCTATAATGCTGATCTGCTGCTCAAGAAACATTTATTATTATTATTATCAATGTTGAAAACAATTGTGCTGCTCAATATTTCTGAGGAAACCATGACACATTACTTTATAGGATTGATTTAATTGAATTTTTTTGTTACATTATAAATTACTTCTGATCAGTTTCATGCATTTTTAATGAATAAAAGAATAAATTTCTTAAAAAAAAGAAAAGAAAGAAATTACTGACTCCAAACTTTTGAATGGCATAAAATAATGTAATTTTAAGTGTTGCTTTATGTCTTGTAAAGTCTCATTTCTTAAAAAAAAGAAAAGAAAGAAATGACTGACTCCAAACTTTTGAATGGCATAAAATAATGTAATTTTAAGAGTTGCTTTATGTCTTGTAAAGTCTCCAAAAAAAATCTACAGATAATCTCTGGAGAAATTAGATAATGAAGAATGATAACTGTTGAACATGCTTAAGAGATAAATAGATACAAAAAATACTGTAGGAGTTGAGAAACACAATGTGTCCAGTTTCATACCACCCATGTGAGAGATACTGAATAATACTGAATATTATTCATGGGGTTCTCTATGAATACTGAGACGTGACTCACTGTGTTCATGAAAACATGCTTATTAAAATTTTAATAGGCACAAAAAGGCTCATTTAAAAAGCTCAAAGCAGCCAGTTGTTATAAATGCATGCATTAATGTAATAAATGTAGATGAAGAGAGGAATAAAAGACCACAAGGAAGAGAAGTGGAGGATCACCTGCTGTTGTCATTGTCAAGGCATGGGGTAGATCGGCTAAAAGCAGAACAAAAGACACAATCACGAATAGCAGAGAGAGAGGCCGAGTGAGATGGGAGATGACGTGAGTGAAAGAAAGAAAAAAAGAAAGAAAGAAAGAAAGAACGAGGAAACTGAGCTGCTATCATTCATGTTCTACAATAGTGGCATCTGATGCAATGCCAGCTTTGACTAAGCATACACACCTTAGTATGTACTAGCATGTACGATTTGGGGAGGCAAGTGTGTGTTCACGTCTGTTTGAGTGTGTGTGTGTGTGTGTGTGTGTGTGTGTGTGAAACCTACTAACCCTGACTGCAGAAGAGTGCTAGTTAGCACCACATTATCCAGATGTTCAGCACCCCAGCTCAGTCGAAATGAGTCCTTCTCATGCTCTCGAGAGAATGCAGATACCTAACAAACAACATAATCAGACTACAATATATCATGAGATAAAAACCCATGTTGAACCCATCAAGATCTGAAAACCATGAATAACAACACTGACCCAAATGTTAGATGTACATATGAGGTGCGATAGTTCATAGTTCACCTTATTAATCTGGTGGCTGGTGATCATATCCTCAATCAGCATTCCTTCACCCCTGTAAGCAAGATGACTGGGGTTCTCATGGGACCTGAAGTAGAACAGTGCAAACAGGTGAACAAGACAGCATTATGTGTGTGTACTTGTTATACTCGTAAGAGCCAAATTCCCCCCAAAAATGGCAACAAATGTTTAAAGCTAAAGTACAACTACAACCAATGTTGTGAGCTGGAGGGCGGGGCTAACAGTAATGAGCTGTTTAGCAGGAATTAACATACCTGTTGAATACTAAAATATTTGTTTATCTGTGGGTAAATGTGCCTTTGGATTTTTCTTTTTTCTTTTTTACCGGTCTAGGTTGTGGATGTAGCTCATGCCATCCAGGTAGTGTCCAGGTAAAGAGTCATCACCAAGCTCTCTCAGGTCCTCTGCTCTCAGGTACTCTCCTCCATCACCTGTCATTGTGTCCTCACCTGTTCATACACACATTGATTGATTGACACTGTCAGTTTGACAGACTAGTGAATTGAGTACTGGTTGATCAAATGGCCAGATTTACGAACAGCTTGCACCAGCGCAAACCCTCTTTTGGCATTTAAAAACTACTGTTATGATTTACTAAAGAGACACAATGAAAGATTACCAAAAAATGCATGGATGCAGTTATTTTTTGCGGCTGACCTTATTGCATATGCATCTGTAGGAGTTTCCCTTTTAGATGCAACAATTTATGGGAGGAGAGTATTTAAATGAATGTGTGTGAGGTGATTTACTAAGGTTTGCGGTAGTCAGTTTACTGGTATTTGTGGCGTTATTTAACACCCCGAATAAAAGCATGTCTTAACCCATTTTGCACATGTGTTGTTAGTAGATTCCCTGCACCTGATTATCATCGGTTATGCTTGTTTTCAACCCTATTCTAATTTGCACTGCTCTTGGTAGATTGGTCATTGGAAATGATCAGTGTGTGTCTGTATACATTAATTTGCACATTGCCAGTAAACCACCCGCAGAAATTTCCACTCACATTGGTGCTTTTATGGAATTGTGGTCTCAAGCTAATTTGCCCTGTTCAGTAAATCTGTCCCTTAATTAATAAGTGATAGATTGAATAGGCTGTAGTTTAATAAACACCCCAAATCATGACTTGCCGTTCATTTCTATTTCTTTGGACAATGTATTATATAACCTCTCATTTTCTGACATAATAAATATGCAAATACTTTTAAAATTCAGACCAAATACCATTAATTATAAACTTTCAGGTTTTAGACAGATTTTAAAATGAACCCATAAAAACTAAAATTAATAAAACAAATTATATTAACCATAACAATAGCAATGCAATTACACATTAAGCCATATCAAGCACCGCTAACCCATTGTGTAGGTATTATGAATTAAAAAAGCTCAGTGACCTATGGATATCATGTATTCCCAATTTTATGATTTAAAAAATCATCCCCAGATTAGCACAAATAACAAAGAACAAAGTTAGTTTTCCACAGTTTAGTTTTCTACACACAATAATCATGCCCGTTCCAGTTAGCACACAAACTGCAAACCACACGTTTGAATAGATATAAAATGAACTGAACGATTTTTGGCAAATGTACCAAGTGTAATGTTAGTAAAGGGTCAGTTCAGTTCACTCTATATCTATACCCTGTATACCTTCAATCTCCATAGAGACTTCAGTAAAAATCTCCTCCTGCATCTGATGTTGGGCTACAGAGGCACAGCAGCTTTTACATAGATATATGAAATCCTGATTATGCATAATAAAAGTTGGTAATAAAATATGCTGTACAGTATCTTACCCTCCTCATCAGACACATCCAGAACTTCTGTCATTGTCTCTGGAACGTTCAGCTTGTGTTTCTCTGTCACCGTCTACAGAAGATGAAATGAGCAATGCATTCAACATACATTCTCTATAGATTATGAATGCATCAAAAGTTCTTAATATGTAAAAAGGCATGGATTCGTACAGTTGTTGTTGTGATTGTTTCCTCAGTAACAACTTTCAGAGTGTCCACCACTGAGATGTACCCTAGTCGCTTAGCAATAGAGAGTGCTGTGTTCCCATTCTGAGAGAGAAAGAGTGTGAGGTTAGAGGAGTAAGACACAGAATTATTATCATTTCTGTGAGTATGAATGTGTCGCTCACCGTGGTGATGGCATTAGGCTTGGCTCCATGCTTCAGCAGGACATTGATAATGTGTGTATTTCCCTGCTGAGCAGCTTGGTGAAGTGGCATGTAACCGTTCTGAAAAAAATAAAAATAAAAATCAGTACGGCAAACAGCACTGAAATAACAATTATCATATAAATAATCAGAATGCTAAGCATGTCATAAATTTAAAAGCATGTAATTCTGATAGAGGCTACAAAACAGAATATTCAGCTTACAAAATTAAAAATATTTTATTGATTGTATATAAATTAATGAATTGATACATTAAAATAATAGCACAGATTTACAGTCAGTCGTAGATATCAGTAATATTTCTCAATCACAATCTCAAAATGCATGGCCACAGAGCTCATAATCACAAAATGATTAAATAATAGTTTATTAAGTAATAATTAATTGAGTTACCAAGTCACAAAATGAAAGAATATAATTTAATAAATATATTAAACTCTTACCTTAGTTTTTGCATTGACATTAGCGCCATTTTGCAAAAGGAAATTAACCATTTTGACATTTCCATAGTGACAGGCAACAATAAGAGGAGTGTAGCCCAACTACAAGAAACAAGCAAATTTCACATTGGCTGAAGTGTAACATATTGAAATGTTATTAAAAATAATAATAATACAGCAAAATAACCATGGTAAAAACTATGGTTCAAGCTTACTTTGGTCTGCTGGTCTATGTTTGCATCGTATTTGACCAGTATTTCAGCCAGCTGCACTCTGTCCTCCTGAGCAGTGAGGTGAAGCGGTGTAAGGCCACTCTGAAAAAAAACCCAAATGCATCTATTGCATTTAATGTGCATTTGCTAATACAATGTTCACTAGGTTTACAGTTCTTTTTAAAAAGTCAGTGTGGCTATAATGTGGACTGAAAACCTATCACAACTTAAAAGAGTTTGAGTCCACATTAAAAGTCTAGCTACAAAGTCAAAATAAAAAAAATAAAATAAAAAAAAATCTATATTTTATCTATTTACTTGTATGTCATGTCACCATTAACTGACATGAGAGTGTCATTAAATTATTGAAATATTAACTTAAATTCTTAGGTACTTCAAGGACATATTTTACATCTAAGGGGTTCGGCTGACATTTGTAATAGTCAGTTTGGATGACAAAAATATGGTAAATATCTGCCTGACACTGAGGATAAATACTGTAGGCTTCCTGCTCTAGATCTTACCTTAGTGGCAGCATTGACATGTGCACCCTTCTCCAGCAGTAGGGAGGCCATCTCTGTGTGCCCCTCCTGAGATGCCAGGTGTAAAGGACTCACTCCCTGTTTGGTCAATGCATTGGTCTCTGCTCCATACTGAAGCAGTGCAGAGGCAATCTGAGTCTGGTTCTTCTTTGCCGCAATGTGGAGAGGTGTATAGCCGTTCTGCATAGGAAGAAAGACACAAAACCTCAAGTTACACATTTTTGTTATATTACTGGATGCAGAGACATCTTGCAATCAGTTTAGGATTTGCACCTTAGCAGTAGCGTGAGGTGAGGCCCCTTTATCCAAGAGCATCATCGCCACCTGCTGGTTATCATAGTGAGCAGCTACATGCAGAGGTGTGAGACCGTACTGGTTCAGAAAGCCAAATAGAGAAAGAAATATGAAAACAGTGAAAATATATTTACAAAAAAATTAATGAATTAATTAAATGAGTAGGTGATTAAAGTTTTGACTTTCACCTTTCCAGTGTCATCAAGAAGTGCTCTCCGCTGTAGGAGGAGTTTTGCCACATCCAGGCTTCCATACTTAGCAGCAACATGTAGGGGAGTGAAGCCTTTCTATTAAGGGAAGGATATTTAGGGTTAGTTAAATATAGACAAATACATACACTGCTGTTCAAAAAAAGTCAGTAAGATTTTATTGTTTTAAAGAAATAAATACTTTTATTCAGCAAGGACACACTAAACTGATCAAAAGATTGCTATTTTAAATAAATAGAATGATTTCTGAAGGATCATGAGACAGTGAAGACTGGAGTAATGGCTGCTGAAAATAGCTTTGCCATCACATGAATAAATTAAATTTTAAAATATATTAAAACAGAAATGAGTTATTTTAAATTTGAATAATATTACAAAATATTAGCATTTTTATATTTTTGAACAAATAAATGCAGCCTTGTTGAGCGTAAGAGAATCATTAAAAAATTGTACTGACCCCAAACAGTAATAAATATGTAATATTACGGAGCCCAGCACATGACATGCAAGGGAAAAAAAATATACACATCGTCTTTTTAGTTAAATGGTGGCCATGAATTAAGAATTTTTTTGTTTTGTTTTAATTAAAACGAGGGAATGAAACAGTACAAAGTGGCCACGATTTATTAAAATGAAGGTACAAATTCTTATTTCGTGGCCATGATTTAACTAAAATGAGGGAACTAATCCATAAGTCATGGGAACGAATTGTTAATTTGTAGACAAGATATATAGTTTTGTCTGCATCTCATGTGAGGGGCTCAGTATAAAGTAATAGGGTTATTCAAATATTTGATATCTCTTTCACAGATATCCCTGCAGTCCCACCTTAGTGGTGAGTGAATGAGATGCTCCGGCCTCCAGAAGCACTGTAGCCGTCTCCACCTGACCTTCACGAGCGGAGATGTGCAGAGGTGTGTATCCATTAGTGGTGGAAGCGTCAGGGTAAGCCATGTGCTGCAGTAACAACTGCACAATCTCTGTCTGACCCAGACGAGACGCAATGTGAAGGGGTGTCTGGTCCTCCTGGAGGCAAGAGAGAGAATATGAAGGAGAGAAATGCAGATATAGTATTTTTAAAGCTCTACTTGTAGGCATTAATATCTGTATTTTCGCTTTATTCAGGAAGTGTTTTTATTGACTGACTCTGGCCATGGCATCCACCAGAGCGCCGTTCCTTAGCAAACATCGCACCACCTCCATCTGTCCTGCCCTTGCAGCCATGTGCAATGCCGTCTCACCACGCTGAAAACAAACACTATCAGTACTACATGAAATGCACTGCTATGTAGGCCTTTTAGACTAGTTTTTTAGGAGAGAGTAGAAAGGATAGGAAATGATATCAAAAACTGTACAGCATAAGCAGGCTAAGCCATGGCTCTGAAAGTAGGGGTGTGAGATATATACTGTATATGAATTATTTTGTTTTAAAGTAGTCATTTAAAGTTTTCTACAGATATATTGTGTCTGTGAGGCAAGTATTTGCTGAGTTTCAGTTCATTTTTGCGAAGCGCTCCTGTTCAAGGAGACCGAGATGGCAGAAAACACATCCTGTTTGTTTTCTTTATTTTACAAAAGCACAACGTTTTGTTGATATTGTGAGTGCACACAAATAAAAGTAGACCCTTTAAAGTTCCTAATGATGTATTACTCTTATCTGTATCAGCAAAGATGGCGTATTTTAAGTTGTTTCCACTGTTATTACAGAAAAAATGTGAAAAGTGACGAAAAGTGATAGCGCCGGCGCCTCCATGTCTTGCAAAGTGCGCTTTAGTTTCCACTCGTCGCACAAACACTTGGATATGTGCCTAACAGCGCACATTTATCTAGGTTAAACGTTTAAACTAACATTGTGATATGCGTGTTTTATATCTATAGCTTTTATTTTAGGCAAGTCGTGTTGATTTAAGAAGGCTAAATTGATCAAACATGTGATAAACTCTGTCGGCCGCTGGCCACTTGTTCGTCACCTTAAAAAACAAAAACATGAATTTAACAAACAAAAAATGTTCCAAACATTTTTTCTAAATTACCTTAAGAAACAAAAAGAATAACCACTTTGGCATTAAAAACAAAAATGAACTTTTAATGGCTGCAACAGCAGTTGTGTAATGAGGAAGAGAGAGAGAGAGAGAGAGAGAGAGAGAGAGAGAGAAAAAGACACAGGCTGTGTCCGAAATCGCCCCCTATACCCTTAAATAGGGCACTATTTGAGGGAACAGCCATTTTTAGTGGTGTCCGAAACCATAGTGGACGTTCTCGAGTGCACTCATTCAATCCCACAATGCACTGCAAGGCTTCATTCAGACTAGGGCCCAGAATTCTGATAAGCTGTCAGACAAGGGCCGGGCTAGGGCCTAGATTTGAGGCCTGTGAGGGCTCTATGCAAAACCACGCTGTGTGATGTAGCTGTCACACGTGATGCATGTAACAATCCAATAAAAACAAATAAGAAGAGTTCAATAATATTTAATAAGCCAACGATCAGGGTACAATCAATGTTATCCACATTAAACATAGACGAGACTGGACAAACACTGGGAGCAAACACAGGGTTTAAATAGGACTGAGGACTAACAAGATAATTAACAATGTAACAAAGGTGAGAGAGATAACTAATCGGACACATGAGGGAAAATTAGGCAAATCAGGGAAGACTAAGACAATGACAAGACTGTGACAGAATGCCCTCTCCCGGAAGGCGCGACCTTGCGCCGTGGAGACGAAGAGGGGATGGCAGACAGGCAGGAGGAGGTTCTGGAGGTGGCCAGATGACCAGGATGTGGCAGACAGAAGAAGACAAAGGAGGTGATGACGGAGGGATGAGCCATGGAGGAGCTGGGAGCAGGAGGAGGCGAGATGGCAACCAGAACCCAGCCAAGGTGAAGGCTCCTGGTGTAGACACAGGATGGAGGAGCCATGGATGACGCCTGGGCGGAGGATCCTGGGGTGCGAGATCCTGTGACGAGGCCGGAAGTGATGGTGATCCAGGTGGAGCCGAGCAGACGCTCAGCATGGGTGACAGAGGATCCAGAGGCAGAAGGCAGAGCAGCAGACTCCAGTGACCGAGGTGGAGGCTGGGATCCGGAAGACAGCAGTGGAGCCGGAGCAACCGAGGACGAAGGCGGAGCCGGAGGGAAGGAGGACGGGCCATGGTGGAGACAAGGGAGCTAGGAGCCAAGGCGGAGCCGATGGGTCAAAGGACCAAGGTGCAGTCATGGATCCAGAGGCAGAGACAGGGCAACCTCACACCAAGGTGGAGCTGATGGAATGAAGCCCCGATGTGGACCTACATAGGCAGATTCAGGCTGAGGGTGTGCATCAGGGATGACTGACAGCAGAGGAGCAGAGAGTGAGTGCGTGGCTGCGATGAGAGATGGAGATGGGCAGGTTCTAGATGAAGGCTGTACAGAAGTAGTGATGAGGTCCATAAATGACAACAGCAGGACAGTCCCAAATAAATGTAGATGATCTTGAGGCTAATAGTAATGGCATAAGCAGCTTACCCTGGCAGCTTACCCTCAGCGGTGGAGATGTGGGTGGGGCTTTTCTCTCTGCCCTCATCTTCCACGAATACTCCGAATAGCTCCGATGTTGTGGCCAGCTTGCACACCTGGTCAGACTTATAGGCGGGCTCGGGCTCCAGGGCGATGATTGGCTCTGTTTCCTCAGGCTCTTCGGTCGCGGTGGGCTCGTGCTCACGCTCGGTGCTGCGCTGGGATAATGGCTGGCTGGGTTCTGGCTCAGGAGTGGGGCTGGTGAGTTCCTCATCTGTGTAGCAGGGAGTCAGTGGCGAGTTGTAATTTACCAGCACCCACTCCACATAGGCAGCTAGCTGTCATGCTCGCTGTCACCGCCCCCGGACAACTTTGCCTTAACGGCAGTGTTTAGTCCCACATGGTAGAACGTGGTGAGGCAGTTATCCGGGTAGTGTGTTCGGTTGGCAAGGTCCAAAAAGTCTCTTGTGTGGTCCTCGAGAGAGTGCTTCCCCTGCTCCAGCAGGAGGATGAGGACAACAAGATCATACATTGTGCCAAAAACAACAAAAAACACCCAAAACAAAAAACTCAAAAAAAATGCAGCTGCGTTGGTCTGGTCTTCTGTCACACGCGGTACATGTAACAATCCAATAAAGACGAAAAAGAAGAGTTCAATAATATTTAATAAACCAACAATCAGGGTACAATCCACGCTATCCACAATAAACACAGACGAGACCGGACAAACACTGGGAGCAAACACAGGGTTTAAATAAGAAGGAGGACTAACGAGATAATTAACAATGACAGGTGAGAGAGATAACTAATCAGACACATGAGGGAACACTAGGTCAAACAGGGAAGACTAAGGCTCTGTCCACACGAACGCGGTTATTTTCAAAACCGCAGCTTTTTCTACGCGGTTTGGCCGTTCGTCCACACGCAAACGCAGCACCAGGTCACTGAAACCGAACATTTTTGAAAACTCCTGCCAGGGTGAAGATTTTCAAAAACTCCGGTTGCAGTGTTATCGTGTCTACAGCGAAACCGGAGTTTTTGGCTTGTGACGTCGGAGCATGCTCTGTTATCTCCGCCTACTGGAAACTTTTTCAGGCTTCTGATTGGCCAACATGGCTTTACGGTTGAGATTATATCGCCACCTGTTGGCTTGGCATGCTCTTGACAGTGCTTCATAGCATGCATTTGCATTTTCATGTGGACGGAGATTTTTTTTTAAACGGAAGAAGGAAAAACACAGTTTATAAAAAATACCGTGTACGTGTGGACATGGCCTAAGACAATGACAAGACTGTGACAGTAGCCAATTAGAATGCAGTTAAAATGGCAGTGAAAATAGTTACAAAACAACGCCATAGAAGAACCGGTCAGTTTCTCTGAGCAACACAAAAGTGAATTGACACATTACTGAATGAATCGGTTTTTTTTTTTTTACGAAATTTGTTCAAACATTTTATTTCATTTATGAAATTATTTCATATTTCAATATTCACAATTTTACTTTCGTGTCGTATTATTTATGCAATTGTAATTGGAAATGTAATTGTAAATACATTTATGACACCTCTGATTTTGTCACGAATCCGGTCCATGGACGTCCGTTCAATCGCCACCAGAGGTCACTCTTCCGTTACATTGACTCTCACACTACACAAACTGTTGCATGTCATCCCGGACTACATATCCCATCATCCATTGCACTGATTGCACACAGCTGTAACCAATCTCACACTCACTATATTACACCCACTCAGGTCCTTTTCAAACGGCCGAGTATTGTTTAGCGCTTATCGCTCATCGTGTGATAGCTACTTTACGGAGCCTTCTCCCTGTGTTAGTTTCTAGTTCCTAGTTCTAGTCTTAGTCTATTCTCGCCGTGTTTTCTGATTTCCTGGTACCTGATTTTTGCCTGTTTATCTTGAGTTAACCCTTTGCCTGCTGTTTCGGACTGTGTTTGCACCTCGCCTGAACTCTAGCTCGTGTTATTGGATAACCCCTCATGTCAAGCCCTCTGGATATTGTTAGCCGCTTATCGACCACGGCCGTTTTGAATTACTCTTCTGTCTTGCGCTCAATATACCTGTTTGCCATTGTCTGACCCATGCCTGTTTTATGACCACGTCTCTGTCTCCTATTAAAGCTTTGCAAATGGATCCGCAAGTCTCATGTCTCGTTCGCCCCGTAACAGATTTGAATACATGCCACATCAAATGCAGCTGTGTATTCGGTGTCATCTCTGCAGTACAAAATAAATAAATAAATAAATAAATTGTTGGTATTGATTTCATTTGATTGGTAACTGCTCTATAATGTATTATTGTTCTAACTGAATTTATTGACTAAATAAATAAGAATGTGACATAAAAGATGACCTAATTTAATAAGGTTAGACAAAAAATGTCATTATAAAGGTAAAAATGCTCCTCCAAATCAATTTAGGCGGTCAAATAACACCCCTTATATGAAAAGTTAATTTGTGTCCCTGCTATTAATTAACCAACGCACAGAACATAAAGAATATTTAAAAAAATTGGGATTCATTCTTTGTCAATATCACACACTCCGACTACAAATCTTAAGAAATGTATTTAAATGTGATACAAATCATGTCCTTCATGATGATTATTTACTCACAATATTACAGACATCAGGTGAGGCTCCATTCTGTAGCAGTAGGAGAACGATATTCAGGTGTCCCATAAATGCTGAAACATGGACTGGGGTCAGGCCGGACTAGAGAGAAAGAGAAGAGAGAGTAGTTATGCTAACTTGCACTCATTTTCGTCAATAGGAATGAATTCAATACAATTTCAGATTCTGAAAGTTCGGTTTATACGAAACCTAAACATTGCAGTTCAATTCACATATTCAATTACATAAAGAAAATTTCAGCACATGCATATCTAAAAATAATTTTTTAGCAAATAAAATCTTTTTTTTTTAGCAAATATTTAGTAATTATTCAGTCCTATCTTAAATATTAAATCTAATCTTTAAATTAGTCAGATTCAAGCATTTACATGTTTACATTTTTTTCCCCCTCTTAATCGGATTGTTTCAGATCTACACCACCCCTTTCCATCTGATCCAAATTTCCTTCGGATCAAGCTCAATCAGCTCAATGAGGTATTTACATGCAGGCTTTTCAGTCCGACTGAGCCATCATTTCGATTATAAACAGATTATTTGGGAGCATGTTAATGTAGTTAGTGTTATAAGAGCTAAAATACTAACAAAATGAGCAAGTAGCAGTTGAGTCAGCAGTCAACAAGAGAAGCCACTTTCACTCACATTACATTTAGACATTTGGCAGATGCTTTTATCCAAAGCGGCTAAAACTGCATTCAGTGTGGACATTTTATCAGCATGCATTCCTTCAGAATCAAACCCACTGTCATTGCTATTGCCATGCTCTACTGTTTGAGCTACAGGAATAATTAAACTCTACAAAGTTTAATTAAACTTGAAATAATTCAAGATAATAAAATACGTCACATGCTAAATCGGATATTATTATCCTAAATAGTATACAATATTTCAATAAGTCTCAGTCACAGAATTCTAGGACTCTCACTTCAGTGATGGCTTGAATTGAGGCTCCGTATTTAACCAGCAGTTCCATGACTTTTACTCTGTTCTTCTTACAGGCAATATGCAGAGGAGTGAAGCCATTCTGACAGACACAATAAATACATTAGTAATGCTCATTTACATTGGTACACATTCATTTGACTTTTTTTAAAGGCAAAGAATTACCAGTGCTCTGGCATTAGGATTCGCTTTTTTATCCAGAAGTAATTTTGTGACTCTGTAGTGACCACAGTGGGCGGCAACATGAAGGGCGGTCAGGTAATCCAGTGTGACATCATCAACCGGTGCCTTGTGTTGCAGCAGGTGCTTCACACACTCGACGTGATCACCCTGAGCAGACATGTGCAGCGGGGACAGGCCGTTCTGTGTGTGCATGTGAATGTTGAAATACAGAGAATGAGAGAGGAAAAAATACAGATCAGCTTTAGATCAAAAAGTAATAATAACAATGTAATAATGATTTTAACAATATTTATTAAAAATATTACTGTTTTATAGCTAAAAAATGTATGTAAAAAATTCAAACAAATGCAGCCTTGGTGAGTATAGGAGACTAATTAAAAGATCATATATATGATCATATATATAATTAGCAATTTTAATTTAGTTCCTTGTACCTTGGTCCGTGCCAGTATGGGAGCTCCTCTTTCAAGCAGTAGTTCCACTGCAGTGTCATGTCCACTTCTGGCTGCACAGTGCAGCGGTGTCAGCCCATCCTGTTCAACAGAGAGGAGATAAATAGAGACAAACAGCATATATGAAGACACGTATATGAATGTACATACATAATGCATTATGAAAACTACTCAGGCAAAGCACATGAAAACATAGCAAAATACCTATCGTTTCAAAGTTTTTCAAAATAAGACACCTTAAACAGTCTAAACAGTCATGATGTATGGCTCACAAAAAAAGCTACTTTATCATTATTAATTTCATATATACATACAGTAAAATAAATTTTTCTCTGAACTGATGTTAACAGTACAGGCACTAGAGGGCGCTTGTTTTACTGCATTTTGATGGTACTATTTGATTTTTGATTTTAGTTTTAATTCACATATTAATAAGATGAAAAAATGAAATAATGGTAATGATAACATAGCTAAACTTTGACTTTTTTTAAATCTGAAAGATGCAGAAACACTAATTCATGCTTTTGTCTCAAATAGCCTTGATTACCGCAATCTCAGCAATAGACAAACGAAAAGCTGTGATGCGGCTTTTGTAAATTATGCTCCAAAATTGTGGATTACACTACCATCTAATATCAGGGAAGTATTTGCAAACGAATGTTAAAAACAAATCTTTTTATTTTGGTGTGTGCTAGGGACTATTTATAATAAATGATCTTTCTATTATGTTTTAGTATTTTATACTATATTTTTTATTATATTAGATGTGCTATATTTAATTCATTTTATCCTATAGGTTTGATGTATTTGTTCTTTATTTTATTATTAGATGTCGAATTTGATATTTGTTGATGCAATTTTTGATTATGTGAAGCACTTTGAACTACATTTTATGTCTGAAAGGTGCTTCTATATAAATAAAGTTTATTATTATTATTTTATTATAATAATTGATACTCACCCTGGTCTTGGCGTCAATCTGAGACCCCCTATCTAGCAGCAGAACAATCATGTTTGTATTTCCTCGTTTGGAAGCCACATGAAGAGGGGTTATACCATTCTAAACAAAACAATGCATCCTTTAGTAAAGACTAAATATTCATATTTGAAAATATAGTGATTGAAATAAACCAAATAAACCAGAGACACTGTCTGCTGAAATCATGAGAATTTAAAAGATGAACTGCAAGTATTTGATTAATATATATATACAATATATATATGAAATCTGATAGTACAGTATATGAAATTCATACATTATACTAAACAATAATTCATTAGATAAACTGCAACAGTGTTTTAACTGTGGAGAAATGAAAGAAAAGAAAGCATACACCTCGGAAATTATTCCCGTAAGTAAGATAGTTTACCCAAAAATGATAATTGTATAATTTCAGTGAATAAGTGAATCTGTTCCTTACAGAAAGCATTGATTTAGAGCAGTGGTTCTCAACCAGGGGGTTGGTGCCCACTAGGGGGCCTCAGCCACCTTCCAAGGGGGCCGCAGGATGACAAGCAGTTCATAATTGCAGCAGAAAAAAATAGACAATGTCTTAGCCTATACTGGGGGAGGGCTTTGATTATTGCGTTGGACAAGGGAGGCCTTCAAATCAAAAAGTTGAGAACCACTGATTTAGATGGCTTACTACCAAACACGCTATATTTGTCAGTTGAAGTTGCCGTTTTTTAAAGGTTTTAGCAGTATATGATCATACCTTGGCTGTGAAGTCTACAGCAGCCCCTCTGTTGAGCAGCAGCGTGGCCACATTAACATTACCGTAGTGAGCAGCAATATGCAGAGGAGTGAAGCCACTCTGTTAGAGTAAAGAACAGTATTGGGATAAAAAGAAGGGATAGAACAAAGAAGAGGAAAGAGGAAAACAGAATGAAGGTAAATGTCTGTGCTGGTCTTCTAACTGATTTAAAACATCCATCATTCATGATCTACCATGCAGCATTCCCATGAATCATCACATTTGTGCAAAACCTTAAAAGAAAGAAAAAATGGAAAAGTAAACAAAACGCCTGGATTCTCATCTGCTACCAGTGGATCCAACCATACCATGCACTGGAGTGAAGGAAAAGAAACGAAACTTGGATGAAATAAGAAACGGAAAGATTAGAATTGTACAGGTAATAATATATGAGCACATTCCCAGTGTCATATGAGTTTTCATGAGAGAGATGAGTAGTTTCTCAGTGACAATGAAAGGGAAAAAAAGATGATGAACAAAATATCTGAACAAACAAATGTTATTCAGCAACTACTCACTACATATTGCTAAAGATGAAAGAATAGATAGGAAATTGGCATTGTCTGTCTTACTCGTTCGTTTGATGGAGCCATTTTTTCTTACCTTTCCATTCTGACAGACATGGTGCAATTTAAAAAACAGAATTAACAAAAAGGTGCAGCAAAATGTGACCGAGAGACTTCTACACAGATAGTGAGAGTGACAGTATGAGTCCACATGCACAATTAAGAGTTAAACGTCTGTTTAGTTTGTTAGTAAAATCATAAGTGGTGTTTAAACAATATAATGAACCCTAATTCCTGCTCAAAACGTTCATTGAAATAAAGGAGCATAAAAACGTGTTGATGAGCTAGAAACACCCAAAAACCTTTTGAGGAAACAGGGTGCTGCTACTAAAATAAAAACAACAATGTGTCATGCACTATGTCATTTAAAAGGACAAGACTCTACTCTTCCCATGCACTGTCAAATAAAAATTCAGTGTTAAAGGCAGAGTAAGTGATTTTTCAAAAACGCTTTAAAAACTGATTCGGGCCGAATCGCAAAACAAACTTGTAGCCAATCAGCAATAAGGGGCGTGTCTACTCATGATGTGGAGGAGAGCGCGTTCAGTGCATGGGACGGACATTAGCCGAGCCGAGCGACAGAAAGATAGAGATGGCTGATAAAAAACAAAAGAGGAAAACGTCTGCGGAACGATAAGGCAAGAAGTAGGACCCGTGTAAATATCGGATCAGCTTTCCAGCGCTGGAGAGAACTCAAGGAGCGGAGGCCTGCGATCGGACGCCGAGGTTGCTTTGTTTCTTCTCAATAGGTGAGTAACACCGTGTCTACAACAGCTAAAGTCTGCCTACACTGGACGCGATCAAACGACCGTTGAGAACCATTTGAAATGTGTGTCAGCATGTCATAAATAGAACCCGGCAGCAGTTTTCTGTCGGGATTTGTTGCGCCGCGCCGCTCACGTCCGTAGACACAGTGTAACATTGGTTTTGCTTTGTTTCACAGAACTAATCGTTGCCTGGGTTGCGTACGTATGTGTGGGGCGGAGCTATCAAAATAGGGGCAAGACCCTTTTGGGATAGGGGCGTGTTTGTTTTGGTGATTTCAAATATAAACATTGGCTACCAGAAATCCCTTACTCTGCCTTTAAGTAGCACATTAGGCTTTACAAGAGCCGAGACGAATACAGGATTCTGCTGAGAATCTTAATACCTCTGTTGTCCTGTTGACCATCATCTGGAGTTGCACATGAGGAAGAAAGTATGGCATTTTCATTAATATTACTTTTTTTTTTTTTTTGTAACATTTTGATCTTAAAAGGAATAATTCCAAAAGCACACATATAATTCAGTGAAGTGAGAAGTTTTTTTTATATTCAAATTTTCATTTTAGAAAATGTGCTGAAAATGTATTCACCCTCAGGCCATCCATGTAGATGAGTTTGTTTATGCATCAGAACAGATTTTGAGAAATGTAGCATTACATCACATGCTCTTCAATGGATCCTCTGCAGTGCATGGGTGCCGTCAAAATGAGAGTCTAAACAGCTGATAAAAACTTTAAACTGTCACTTCTGGCCAAAATACCAGTCCATAATTCATAAATAATAACACTTCCTCCTGTGAAAAAGTCCATCCCATGTTGTCCTCTCACATCATATTCACCAACATATTTGTTTTGGACTTTTTTCGCTTGTAAACAGTGTCTCATCTGTGTATATTTCTCTCCTGATTCAGACAAAATGACTTTTTCCTGGAGAAAGCAACATTATGAATAGAGGACTCTTATTTAATTTGGAAGCAACAGTTTGAAGTTAGAATCATCTTAAGAGTCGTGTGGATTACTTAAGGATCATTATGATGCTTTTATCAGCTGTTTGAAATCTCATTCTGACGGCACCCATCTAACTGTCTTTATTTAACACAGTTTTTATAGTAAGAAAAACCAAAATGATCTATAATTAGATCAAACTGGTGTTTGGGATGTCAAGACCATCATGAACTAGATTCACTGATCTCACCTAATGTTTAATCTCTTATTAAGTGTGTGATATATTACTAATACGCGAGTTGCACCACTGATACTACTGTGATCATTGTGAAACATTCCTAAGCACAATATGCACAAATAAAAGTTTTAAACTATGGCAGCATTTAAACACACACAGACATCAACATTCAGCCTATGAATCTCAACATTGGTGACAATCAAAAAAAAAAAACATTCTGCAATGCATGCTGGGAGTTTTGTACTGGCACCCAGCATGCATTGCGGCATGATTTTTTATTTTATTTTTTTGTATTAATAGTCACCATTGTTGAGATGCATGTGCTGATTCTTGATGTCTGTGTGTGTCTAAAAGCTACTGTAGCTCTAAAGGTTTTGCAAATAAAAAGTTCACAATATTGTGAAGTTATTCCTTCACAATAGTTTGTCAGTTTATCTTGCAGAGTCATATTAGTACCATAAGCGAAATATTAATTTACCCATATAATTAGACACAAAATGACACCAGTGAATCAGGTCATGAAAAATGAAACGATCATTACATCATTATTAATAGTTATTAAAACCACTTCATTGCAATTTCTCTCAGCTCTTCTTGTCATAACATATGTGTTTCACATACACAGATACAACAGCAGAGAAAGACTAACATTAAAGAGTCAAGGGTCAAGAGCCCAACTAAAGCAACCACTGATCGCCAAAATGGTGAGGCCAAACAAAATATTTTCAATACAATATAAACCTCGGTTAATTCTCAAAAAATGTTTTGTAGATATATGACAGAAATAAAGTCAAACTGGTTAGTAATGAATGAAGCTGGTAATGCTGTTTGTGGAGTTGTTTAATCATCATCTGCTGTTTTATTTCGGTTAATTTCATGTAAGGCTGCGGCTGAAGTCAGTTTCATTTCTTGCTCTTTTCTTCAGTGATTCTGCTTGTTAACAGCAGCTGTACATCATTGGCTGAATTCACTCATTAGTGTTCATTCTCTCTGTCAGGTGGACTATATTAGTAAACTCATGTAGGGAATAGTGAATGAGGGTGTAGGGTGTGATTTCAGACACAGTCTCTGTGTATTTTACCGTTAAAATCACGATAATTTTTTACAGTGCATCTAGACCAGCTTGGACCAGACAATGAAGAGTTTAGACCAGCTAGAAATCATGTAATACCTTCAACCATCTTATGATTTTGATTATTGGATATACTTATTGGATATAATTGGATTCATGATTTCAAGTCATTCAAGATTTAAGATTTCACTTCAGAAGCAAGTCATAAAAACCACAGTCTATGGAAATGTGTAAACACTCTCCTCTTTTTAGCAGGTACTTGTATGGGCATGTTGCAAAGAATGGAAAGACACACACACAACTCTCGCAATCACAAACCTCTGTGGCAATACTCTGGTTTCCACCATTCTCCAGAAGATATTGCACAACATCCAGGTGATTCTCTTGAGCAGCCATATAAAGTGGAGTGAAGCCATTCTGTAGTAACATACCGGCACCGTAAAGCTAAATTATAATTATAACAATTGATTAAATACTATTTTAATCATATTCAATTAAATTATATATATACAGTGGGTACGGAAAGTATTCAGACCCCCTTAAATTTTTCACTTATATGTATTATTAGAATATTACAGGCTCTTCTCACCTGCGATTGCGAGTTTACATCTGCTCCTCTTTTCACCAATAACTTCGCAACTTCTTTCTGCCCAGCCAGACAAGCAATGTGCAATGCTGTGTTCCCTTTCTGAAGAGGAAGAAAGGGAGATACATATTTACATCTACTGTAATTGTGCACTTGTTTGTGTATGAATATGCTAGGATAGGATACGATAAACTTTATTTGTCCCCAAAAGGAAATTTGTCTTGGGCAAAGATAAATAAAACAAATTAAATAAAACAATTAAAAAACATACATTAAAATATAAGTGTATATGTATAAAATGTAAACTATGTACAGTGCAAAACACAGTAAAGTGCTAATATGCTATAGATGCATTTTTTTTTTGGTAGAATTCAGCATTTTTATTGAGGCAGGAACAAAAGAAAGCTTCAGTCTATTCGTTTTACACACTGGCATTCTTAGTCTCTTTCCCGATGGCAGCGACTGATATTCGCTAAAAAGAGGATATTTGGAATCAGTGCTGATACTTATTGCTCTTCTCATCACTGCCTGATCATATAAAGTCTGTATGGGCTCATATTGACTAATTCCTATGATTTTCAAGGCTGTTTTGTGGATATGAGCCAATTTGTTTTTCAGTTGAACAGACAAGTTTCAAACCAGACTGTGATTCTGTAGCGAATAAGACTTTCAAGCGTGGCTCGGTAAAAAATAAGCAAGATATTGCTACCCACCCCATACAGTCTCAGCCTTCTGAAAAAATAAAGCCTCTGTTGTAGTAGTGTGCACAGACTGTCAATGTGTGTATGTGTATGCTTAACATAAGAACAGCTACCAACTGGTACTTGGGGACTGCATGAGACATTTGACCTAATTTGCAGAAATCCTATCAGGCAAAAAGGACTTCTAGTACATAATAAAACAAATAACATGAAAACCACTTAAACAATCACATTTCTGCTCAATAAAAAGTCTCCAAAGCTTTGCTCTTTGCAGTGTGCAAAGCTCTCTGCTGTCAGTGTGATTGCTCGTGTGTTTATAGTTCCTGGCTTGTGTGGGTGTGTCTGTTTGGCCCTGTGTGTCAGACGACAGGAATCATCAGAGTCCTGCTGTACTCATCATACTGGATGACTGGCATTCCGTCATATTTATTTCTCTCTCTCGCCATTTGGGAATCACATACCCCTTCCCTCCAATTTGTAAGTGTCTATGTGTGTTTAACCTTGGTTGAAGAGTCCACGGTCGCACCCCTCTCCAAAAGTTCCTCCACCAGCTGCACGTGACCCTCTTTGGCTGCTAGATGGAGCGCATTGAGTCCGTTCTACACGCAGAGGGAGACATGATCAATACATTTTTATCAGTGCAGATTTAATATTAAGCTACTATTTTAATTTTGGTCATGATAAATAATAGCATACAAGTTGCATAAAAACAGACTTTGCCAAAATAATTTGACAGGGGTAATACTAGAACAAAAATGTTTCATATAGTAGATCTCTCATGTGCATTCTGTAGGTTTTTACTAAATATGGAGAATTGTTATGTACGGCTCTAGAAAAAAAGACTGAAAAAGATTAATTGCAAAAATGAAAGATTACAAGATTATGGAAATATAATGTTAAATATATTAGAACATAATTAATATAGTAAATAAACGTTATTTTATTTTTTAAATTGTTTATTTTATTTTATTTATTTATTTATTTTTTTTACTTTTCCCCCAGACCCAGGTTTGAAAATTTGAAAAAGAATAATTATGACAGATTTTACTACGGCTAAATTTGGCAACAGTCTTTTTTTCTATTTTAGTACAATGATCAGAACAAAAAAAGTTGTTGTAAATTTGAGCCATTATGAAATAATTAATTTTCATTATATCATGTAAAAAGTCACTTGTTTTATTTTTATTTTATCAAATCAAGCTTACGTTTAAACATGGAATTTCAGTGTTTAATCTCTTTTTTCTCGAGCTGTAAATAAGCATTCCCTTTATTCAAACATCACCACCTGTCTTAATTTACTAATGCACCTCATTTTATATTTGACGGGTAAATCATGACAGCTCTTGTGTAACGCATTATGGCTAACATTCAGACTCGTCAGTAAGAGCAGAGAGAATTAACGAGACTCTAATCTCATTTATTTGGATAATGAAAGCTGAAGGAGTTTTCGCATCCAGAGAGAGGGATTCCGGTGAAAGAGAGGAAAGAAAAAAAAACAGATAAAACATGGGCAGATTATATTGCAATATCACTCAGTGAGGATTAGAATGGTGGATTTTAGAGAAAACAACATTGAATGCCTGTCCATTGTTGTGCTGACATGCTCATTATTACTGGCGACTCCAGATGACGTCATAATGGATAATGTCATGGTCAGAGCAGAGGCAAATTCAAAGGGGTCATAGCAACCTAGCTAGGACATAGCTATGACATTTGTCTCTGATGGCATTTCAGTAATATATGTTCGCTATTTCACAAAATTGCACACCCAGTTTCACGTAATTTAATGTAAAATAAGTAAATAAATAAATACATGCATATATAAAATGTAAAAATACAGCACAATCACCCTTTCAAAGGAAATATTTCACAAAGATGTGAAAATGTGAAACATGCTTCATATAAAAAAAACAATGTATTGTATAAAAACAATGATATTGTAACATTAAGGCACTTAAACACTGTTTTTCTCCTTTTTTCCCCCCCATGTTGGTCATGGTTCCACATGACCACAACCATCAGTGCTACATTTACATAATATTTATATGGCACACCTTGCTAAAACCAGTACTGTAAAGATGATTGGTTGAAAATGTTGCAGTTTGTGCCTGTGCCAAACCTTACAGAATGCATTTTGCATGCGGTATCTCCTATACGTAGATAAAAGGACAATTGAATCATACATTCTCAGAAAAAAAAAAAGTACAAGCTGTCATTTGGGAAATACCCCAAGCTACAAAAGCTAAAGGGTACATTGTTATACCTTATTTACCCCTAAATGGTACACATTAATACCTTTTAATACCAGCTTTTGTCAGGAATCACTATGGCTCCCTATAACATCATAACAATGCAATTTGTTGCCCAGGCTGGTCAAAAATTGAGAAAAGCAAACTAAAAAAACATACACATTTCTAATAATAAGGATTATCCTTCACTAACAAAGCACAATCTACTAGGACTTTCCAAAGAGTGGAGCTAACACAGAGTTGACAGAACATTAAGCTGGAAAGAAGTTTATGGCAACCCGCTTCTTGGAGAAATTTTAATTCAGTATTCCTCAACAGATTTTCTCATAACAGATTAGATTAAACGCATTTAAATACATAATCTAAACTGCTTTAGATGTAACTGTTCCAATTGTTGAATTCCTTGTATGAAATAGTAAATTAAGGCTGAGAGGAATCAATGAGACATTGCATTCATTTCATTGCATTCATAGTGTTTTATGTAAAAAGTTACCTGGTTGCATGTGGCAATGTCCTGTCCGCTCTTGAGGAAATCCAGCACCTTTTCAATATTACCTGCCCTGGCCGCCCTTAGGAAGCTGGTATTACTGTCCGACTGTAGAAACAACAAAACAGGAAAAACATTAGGAAACTTCAGGCCAGCTCTAGTTAAAAAAATTTTTTCAATTACAATGAATTTCCAAGTAAAACAAAATTAAAGAAGAGCAAATGCAGGGTGAGATCTTAATTTTTTCCCCCTATCAATAATTGTTTGAAAGTTGACCAGTCATTTCTGATAATATACACTACCTTTCAAAAGTTTGGGGTCTGTAAGACCGAATACAGGAGTGACTTCTGAAAATTCAGCTTTGCCATCACAGGAATAAATTACATTTTGAAATATATTCAATTAGAAAACAGTTATTTTAATTTGTAATAATATTTCACTAAATTACAGTTTTACTGTATTTTTGACCAAATAAATGCAGCCTGGGTGAGCATAAGATACTTTTTTAAATCATTAAAAATCTTACTGACCCCAAACTTCAAAGTTTAAGGTTAGCGCTTATGTCTCAGCGAGTGAAAGTTGTGATTTCAGTGGGTGTATCTCCTTTTATCAGAATTGTGTTTAACTGTGACTGCTAAATATAGACAGCAAAATAGAATGAAGGCAGCTGACATGACACACACACACACACACACACTACAGTACATGTGGTTGAAGGGGACTGTCCTCAGGCATAGTGGTTTTTATACTGTACAAACTGTATTTTCTATGTCCCAACCCTACCCTCACAGAAAACTATTGGCATTTTTTGAATTTCAAATAACACAGTTTTGTATATTTTTAAGCCATTTGGTTTACGACAGTGATCTCAAACTCAATTCCTGGAGGGCCATAGCTCTGCACAGTTTTGCTCCAACCCTAATCAAACACACCTGATCCAGCTAATCAAGGTCTTCAGGATTACTAGAAACTTCCAAGCAGGTGTGAGTTGGAGCTGGTTGTAGCTACACTCTGCAGAGCTGTGGCCCTCCAGGAATTTAGCCTGAGACCACTGGTTTACAAGGACACAAGAATTGTCCTCATAAATCATGTTTATGTAAGCCATGTCATTATACACATTTGTGTCCTCCTAAACCATGCATTCAAACACACAAACAGATCTGCATATGTGCATGGGTATCTTGCCATGTGAAGAAGAAAATTAATGCTAAGATCACATTTCTGATTTGGCATCAATCAGTGAACATGTGTTGATTCATAATACTACTGAGCAATTCCTTTTAAAGCCCTTGGCATAAGTCACAACTGTGACAATAAAACCTGCATGTGGAATACCAATGCAAAAATCCTCAATGTACTGAATAATGAACACTACAGAGCAGGAAGACAGTACAAGTACAGAGCAGGAAGACAGTACCTTTCGGTTACCTTTCAACAGCTGCGCAAAATGTATTAAAACATACAGATACATTAGAATTGACAAGCACATTGGTGCAAAGCTCTGGCATTTAAGATGCTAATGAACAGATCGGTAGGCCTACCTCTCAGGTCATGTGGAGCGTGAAGCATTAAAGTGTCAGGTCATTACAGTTTTGACCGAAATGTTTGAGACTTGACCTCTGCTCCTTCTGAGGTTGAGAGGTCACATCTTAACCACAGACACTATACATTTGCTGCTGAAGTTGCCTTCACACATGCTTCACTATTTGAGCTCATATGGGCAACAAAGTTCCGAGGTAAGAAGTCAACTAAAAATCAGGTATAAAAATGAATTAAACACCAAAGTCTTGAAATACTTACCATACAAAAGTAACCCTGCTATATCAAACAGCTTAGATCAGCTTAAATTTCCAGCATTTTTGTTGGTTAGTGCTGTTTTGGTGCTGGTCAGACCAGCTAGGCCAGTACACAGGCGTGCTGTTGGCTTTAGTTAGTGAAGCTAGTCAGTTAACATGGTCTTTCTGGTGACGCTAGTTAACCAAAGTGGTTGACCAAATTGGTTCAACTGTGGCATTACTCCAAGAAAACCCTTTAGGAACCTTTATTTCCAAGAGTGCATTTTTCACAGTATCTTCTATGTTCCACAGAAGAAGAAAAAAAGTCATATAGGTTAGGAACGACATGAGGGTGAGTAAATGATAACAAAATTGTTATTTTTGTGTGAATTATCCCTTTAAGTAAAGATCTGAGAAGTTGAATATACTAAATGAGATCTTAACTGCAATCGCCATGGTTACAAAAAGAAAAACAGAAGATTGTTCTGCATTACGATCCCAGCATCCCTAACAAAAAATATGCTGGTCTTTTCAGCAGGAAAATTAACTCAACAATCCTCTACTGAACCTAGATATTATTAAGATTGTCTTACCATGGTATCTGCCACAGAATTGTAGGAGCGGTCCAGATATGGATCACTTCCAACGGTCCGCAGGCCTTTATCTGAACCACATGCCTTACACATTGCTGCATTGCCCATTGTAAAGAGTGACCCAAACCTTTGCAAAAAACTGTGCTGCACTTTACATCAACGTCTCGATCGCTCGTGAGTTTCCGCCCTCGCTCTGCCTTTTCCGGTGATAACCAACCACTGAACATCAAATCGCTCCTCGGGAGATTGATTCCAACTCGCTCACATGCACTTAGCTTTATGGGTTTGCAATATCCTCAGTCTTCAGGTAGTACCCAGGAGCCCATTCAATTATCAGCTTCAGAGCATCTATCCAGCTAATGTGAAATCCCCCAAACTTTCATGTCTTTCTCCTCAGGTCCCGAACATTGTCTCTTATGTGCTCTCTCTGATCCCTGCCCCGCATCTTCTGTGAGAATCTGCGTCCCGTATTGGCACAGACCCCTTGGCTCTTATCTCCTACACTTTTCCGGTCTTTTCTCTCTTCCCGCCTGGCTTCGTGACTGACAACTGCGGCCACAAATGTGTCTCCCATTGCTATATCAGGCCGAATAGACACCCCGTTCAGGATCCAGGGCTGGGTTATTTTTAACCCCTCCAGGGCCAGGCAGCTATGTGACAGAACACGGCCCAACAAGGGGCAATGCTAATGGGGAAGAGCCAGCTGGGAAACCTGTCATTTTCCTCCTGAGGTCTAGGAATGCGCATCCACCGGGACAACTGAAGTCAAAAAGTCTTGACTGGAGGAAGAGGGTGTTATTTACAAAAACCCTTGGTTGTCATACCATCCATTGCTATTCACAGCTATTGAATTCAGTAAAAGCTCTCGCAAAACGCCACATGAATCCAATTCATCATCCATGGGGAATATAACCGTGTTTAAACAGCTATAGCAATGCCTACAGTGAATCAGATGGAATGCATCAGTGTCTGTGGGTCATCTCTGGTCCCGAGGCAGTACATTGACCAGACTATGATTCAGCATTAAGCTGACTTCCACTACAGACATATTGACCTGCCATTGACTGCCCTGATCAATGCCATGCCCCCCATTAACCAAAATACTCTGGGTTTTACAGTTAATGGGGCAATAATGACAAGTGAGTTTAAACAGAAAAAAACATGTCATAATAATGCTTTAAAACAAAACATAGTGAACTCTGTTAATGTACATGTACAGCTGACTTTTTGAAGAATTTAAACTTGATTCTGTCAAGATCAAATTATTTTATTTAAAATAAATATTGCAAAACAAATAATAAAAGAATAATAATAATAATAAACACTACTGTTCAAAAGTTTGGGCTGGAAAGATTTAAACAAAATGTAAACAAAAAGATTTAATCAAAAATACACTAAAACAGTATATAGTAATAAATATATAATATACTATTAAAATTTTAATTAACTGCTGCATTTTCAGCAGACATTTCTCCAGTCACATGATCCTTCAGAAATCATTCTAATATGCTGATTTGGTGCTCAAGAAACATTTCTTATTATTATCATATTATCAACAGTTCTGTTGATTGATATTTTTGTTGAAAACCATGATACTTTTTTTAGGATGCTTTGATGAATAGAACAATTCAAATAAAAAGTATTTCTTTTTTAACATTACAAATGTCTTTGCTTTTGGTAAATTAAATGGATCCTTGCTAAATAAACGTGTTCCAAAAAATGGTAGTATATTTGTAAAATATCATTATGCTTTTCCCATTTAAAAATAATAGCAATATTTTTAAAGAACATCATTAAAAATTGCTAATTGTTATTCAATGTTAACATTCTCAGCTCCTTGTGTATCTCAGTTATAATAACCTGCTTATAAGACTGTTAGTTTGACAATGCTAGTCAAGTAGTTATAGGTTGCAGCAGGCAGTGGCTGATTAAGCAATGAGACTGCACAGCATGCTCCTAGAATCTGTTTGAGTAATATATGGGTGTCAAAACGAAAAAGCACAGGCTCACGCAGTTTGATGAAAGGTTATATATAGGCCATGGCTAGATAGACGTTTGAGAATGCATCACTTGTCTTACCGGAGAAAATTAATTTGGATGTGGTGCCCCTGGGCACTTGCCCAATTGCCCATATGGTTAATCTGCCTATGGCAGCAGGTCATCCAAGGTCACACAGCTTAACACATTAGGTGAAGGTGATGTTTTATAACACATCTGTGCTAACAAATACTTTTACTTCCTTCAATGCTGTTGCTTTTTCAACCATTGCCAGCCTCTCCTTAGTAGTGATGGCTCTTTCACGAACAATTTGATCATTGCGTCCGTCAAGTGATGAATGAACAAAAGACTCTGGAAGTGAACTAATTATTTGAGTTTACTTTTGGCTGCATTTGAATATGATCAAAGACTAGGTGTAAACATGCACAGGGAATTTGGCTACAGAAAATACAACATTTTAACTCCATACAAATGAATGAAATGACTCCAATAACATTTATTCATTTTGCTGAATGAAATTGAGCAAGAGTCGATAAAACGATCCGATCTCCCCATCACTACTTCTTTATTATTTTTCCTCAGGAAGACTTATATTTAATATAAATTAAATCTAATTCAATTAATAAATTAGATGTAAAAAAAAATGAATCTTTAATACTGTAAAACATTTTCAAAACTTGTATTTTCAGATTGCAAGAACAAAACTAAAGCATACATGAGTTCTATCAAAAGGTTATGTCATCACATATGTAGCCAATGAGATTTTGCACTCTAGAGACAAATCTGCATACAGGATGATCCTATTTCCTAATCCTCTTTCAGTATCTGTGCTCTGAAACAGGTGCGGAACAGCTGACTACAGGATTTATCGCTGGGGCTCATCTGCAGCACAAAAATACTAAAATGCAACCACAAAAAATATGCATTAATTATTATATATTGCATGTACACAGTTGAGAATTTAAAAATATTTGTATTAATAATAAATAAATACTAAAAGTACATTATATCAAATAATACAATAATAAAATAAAATAGTTTTAAAAATTAGCATAAAATGTCATGGCTATGTTGTCTTACTACACTCTAAAAAATGCTGGGTTAAATAAAATCCACTGCTGGGTAAAATAGGGACAAACCTAGCAATTGGGTTGTTTTGACCCAGCGGTTGGGTTACTACCCAGAAGGTTTGGTTAAACATTTAACCCAACCGCTGGGTCAAAACAGCCCAATTGCTGGGTTTGTCCCTATTTTACCCAGCACTGGGTTGAATTTAACCCAGCATTTTTTAGAGTGTAGGGGTGTTGAATTCTAATATTTGTACGCATTAGAAAGAGATTATAAGAATGATTAATAATGTTTAATTTAAGTGATTTATAGGCATGACAATTGTAGCAGAGCAGGACAAAGTTTTACAAATCACCCCTAATTTAATCATGTTAATTTGATGTAACATGCCATGTATGACATCATCATATCCTCTGACCTCAATGAACCCTCTGTGCATGTGAACGCGACTGAGACTTTACATGTGCTAACACTGAAAGCACAAAAATGATCAATTCACAAAGAATAAATTCAGATTAAAATATTACTAATTAATTACTAGATGCTACATTTGCACATTACGGAAGCAACTGACTATTTTAAATAGTATTAGGGCTGTCTGAAGATTTTGACATTAAATGGTCGCAGACTTCTTTAAACAGACACATGTCACCCAATAGGTCAGCTGTATCTGAGCTGGCATGGATGAATTTGAGGTAAAAGTGCTGTTGTTAATTGTACCTTGTGTTTGCGCTCTGCTCTCTCTCTGTGTCTCTTGCGTCTCTCTCTGGCTTTGGTGAGAGCCTTTATCTCTGGAGGTTGTTCCAGTTCCCGTGCCTTTTTCAGGTGTGCTGCTGCGTGTGCCATGATGCCAAACCACAGAAAACCATACACAGATACTTCTCTATCGCTTCAGATGTGGAATAGTCCCATAAGGTTTTTCATATTAATGTAAAGCAAATGTTGGCGTCCTTGATCTGCTTTTCCCAAACGGCTCCTTTGAATAAGGCGATAATGGATGCTCTGTGCCACTGTCCTCCCACAATTCACTCTCAATAACTCCCTCCTCAGTGCAAACAGTTTGTCTCTTTTTTCCCCCATCGAGTGTGACTCCAGTCCATTGGTTGGCTGAAGAGACAAAAGCCTTACTCGCTGAATCTGAATTTATATCGCCATGTGTGAACTAGGGACCAGAGAGAGAGGGAGAGACGGAGAGGGAGAGAGAGAGAGGAAGAGGGCCAACCTGCCTGTCCAGATGTGGAGGCATTCAGCTATATTCCAGCTGTAGGATTGAATGTATGTATGTGTGTACTTCGAAAATGTGAGTGTATAAGAGAAGAGACACAATAAAAAGAAGTGTTTGTTTCAGAGAAAAACATGAAACTGTTAATAAATACTGTGTGGCAAACAGCAAGGACACCTGTGGCACATTGCGTGCTCCTCGGAGCTGGGGAGGAGTTTAGGGAAGACCACAGTGGAGGCTGTCAGGAACACTGGGAATATATACACTGGGGCAATGCTAAGCCACATATACAAATCCACCTGGAGGGGAATGATTCGCTCCGACACACAGCTACTGCAGTCATAGACCTGACCTGGTGGGGTGGTGAGGCATTGTGGTTAATGCCCAGGGCTGATAATCAGAGAGTTGCTGAGTCAATGCTGGTTCAAAAAGGCACTTAAACCTGCAGGATGCTCCGGTGGGACTGAACTATACTCTCAGAAAAAAAGGTACAAAAGTTGTCACTGGGGCGGTACCTTTTCAAAAGGCACACCTTTGTACCTAAAGAGTCCATATTGGTACCTTAAAGGTACATATTAGTACCTAAAGTGTACATATTAGTACTTAAAAGGTACAAAAGTGTACCGTTTGAAAAGGTACCACCCCAGTGACAGCTTTTGTACCTTTTTTTCTGAGAGTGAATCCTCTTGGATTTGAAGGTGTCTGCTAAATGACTACTGCAGATGCTATAGAGAAAGGAATCTATAACTATTTCTTAGTAAGGATCACACTTAAGCTGTCTCTGACTCTCAAAGAGTCAGGATAGTCTCAAAATAACTACGTGTCTGTTTTAAGTTTGGGATCAGGGTTCTTTTTTTTTATATATACTTTTATTCAGCAAGGATGCATTAAATTGCTCAAAAGGGACGGTAAAGATTACAAAAAGTTTTCTATTTCAAATAAATGCTGTTCTTTCTATTGTTCATCGATGAATCCGGAAAACTAAACATAATTATTAAGTATAGCACAATTGTTTTCAGCATTGATAACAACAAGGAAGTGAAGCAAATCAGCATACTAGAATGATTTCTGAAGGATCATGTGACACTAAAGACTGGAGTAATGGCTGTCGTGAATTCATCACAGGAATACATTTTAATAACATTTAAATTCTAATAATATTTAACAATATTACTGTTTTAACGTATTTTTGATCAAATAAATGCAGCCTTGGAGAGCATTAGAGGCTTCCTTCAAAAACATTAAAAAATCTTACCGACCCCAAATTTTAGAACAGTTGTAAATATATACACAAAATCCAATTCACAGATCTGGGTCACTATCCTTGTGGGGACTCCCCATAGGCGTAATGGTTTTATACTATACAAACTGTATTTTCTATCGCCCTACACCAACCCTACACCTAAACCTACCGATACTTCTATACCACCTTTTGGCCTGAAAAAGTAACTACACCTTTTTTATAAATTATTTATAAAATTATATATCAGCACACTGACACCTGGTGGTTACACTGCACACTAGATGACATCCAAACATCTACCTCTGTGTGAGTCCTTGATGTAAGTATTAGACCTATAAGACAAGCACTGAATCTAAGATCTCTGAAAATGTACCGTAGTTTGTGTATATTAATCATAGTTATGGTGATGTCAAATCATAGTAGGAACAGCTGAAACCATTGACACCACTTTACTACCATGGTTAGATGAATGGAATAATGGTTTCTATAGGACAAACTATAATATGTTATAATAAAATACAATATTTTGCACATTTATAAACTATAGGTACAACTGTCTTAGTTATAATAAAAACAAAGCAGATTTGACACTTTATAAATAGGGTACAAACTGTTGTACCATTACTTTTCAATTGTATATCCAACAATTAAAATCATAGAATATCATAATTTTGATATAATCTGTAGAATTAACATTATATCACACAAATCATGCACTGTAAAAAAATTATCATTATAAAACATTTTTTATATATTTTGTCCACCCATAATTGAATTCAAAATTGCAATTAACCTAAGTTTAGTGTTTTAACAGGTTTTAAACATGTCCTAAATTGTGGTAACAAGACTGCTTAAATTAAAATTCTGTAATGCAAGACCTATTTCCAGCTCTATTCATGGAAAGTGCCATGCCACCATGCTTATATATATTTTAATATGAATCAAACTTTTTTTTTTAAACTGCAGATGGTGCTACATTACAGTAAGGTATTCTCATCCTTAACAAGCGCTGCATCTCATGTTATTTATTCATGTGTAAAAGCAACAGACTAAACAGCAGCAGAACCTGTTCAGATGCAGAAAAAAAAAATCTATAAAACATTGATCCTTTATGACAACTGATAGTCTCCAGAGTACAGCAAGAGCTGTGTAACTAGAACAAAGACACAGACTCACACAGTAAAAAGCACGGCAAAGATGGACCATCAATCAAGTTCGTTCAGCCTGCTTATTGGAGGTTATACAGTCAGCCAGATCACAATTTCAGTGTTAAACACTCATCCTATGAATCTAAAACAAACGTTTTTGCCACAATGCTATAGGGAATTGTGATTGGTCACCAGAATATTGCTATGCAGTTGTATTTGCGACTCCCTAAGTATGACCTCACAATGTAGCAGATAAAGATCATGCTGTAAACCTGCTGTAAATATGTTAAAAACACCACACCGCAAGAGAGATGTTTGACATATGGTTCATTTGAGCTTGAAAAGGTCTTGTCATTCTGATAAATGGACAAGCAGAGGACAGGATCAATACAGTGATAAACATGAGCAGTGTATGCAGAGGCACCAGGTCTCAAATGTCTGCGTGCAGAGAGCAATGCTCCCAGGGCAATACAAGTTATCATCATCTCTACACTTACTGAACATCATTACTCAGGATACTTATGTTTCACCCATCACAGCTGCAAATTGTGCTGCGTCAGGGGCTTGCGCTAAAAACAATAAGAGCTTTTTTTTAGGTGTACGTAAGTACTAAGTAGTAATTTCACAGATGATTTTCATCCAAAGTGACTTAAAAATAAAGGTTCTAAAAGGAGGTATTTGCAGCGATGCCATAGAATAACCTTTTTTTTTGGTTCCCCAAAGAACCCTTCAGTGAAAAGGTTTTAAAAGAAGAACTTTTTTTCCACTAATGAATCTTTTGTGCAATGGAAAGCTTCCATGGATGTTAAAGGATCTTCATGGAACCACTGATGCCAGCCAATAAAAAGCTTTGTTTTTAATAGTGTACAGTATGGGATGATATATCACCACTGTATTTCTACTGCTAACTAGCATTGTAATGACCACCTGAGAAGCCTGGATGTAACTTTGCAGTAAACATATCTATGATGACAATTCAAATCTCAAATATAAGAGAAGTTTATGGGTGTATATTGTGTGTACTGTGGATGTAGTCAGTGTATAGTCATAGCTGAGTCTGCACTTTTCCACTCACATCATCTGAAACCTATTCAGTCTTGAAGCTCTTACAGTGTTTGTTATTAAGCCATTAGTCAACACATCGACCTTTCATAAAAGCTCACTCACAGTCAACACTCAATCCTGTTTCTCTGCACAAATTCATGACTCTAATGCACTAGATGTAGAAGCAGGAATGCAGCAATATTGAAATTTTGGCCGATACAATAGACAGTAGTTATTATGTTATGGCCAATAACAATATATTGTCTGTTATTTAAAAAAAAAGGTATTTACACTAAAACTCCAATATAGAATTTGACATGCTGCAGATTAAATCAAAACATTAATTGTTAATTAAAAGGATAGATAAAGGATATATTAAATTGATCAAAAGTGACAGTAAAGACATTTTAAAATATTACTATTTCAAATAAATGCTGTTCTTTTGAACTTTCTCAAAGAATACTGAAAAAAATGTATCATAGTCTCCACAAAATTAATTTTTTTTCAACTATGATAATAATAATACACTTTTCTTGAGAACCAAATCAGTATATTAGAATGCAGTTATGATGCTGAAAATTAAGCTTTGCCATCACAAGAATAAAGTACATTTTTAAATATAGTAAAAAGGAAAATAGTAATTTTAACTTGAAATAATATTTCACAATATTACAGTTTTTACTGTATTTTTTATCAAATAAAAGGTTAACATAAGAGACTTCTTTCAAAAACATAAAAAAAAAGCTTACAGACCCAAACTTTTGAACATAGTGTACAGTATAGAAAAGATGCCTGTTTAGTATTATTTTGAAAACCAGCATAAAGAAACAGTATACTATTTATATTATCTGCTTTCAACAAAATGAATAAAATGTTTACAAAAACATTTAAACTGGCTAATGCCAATATGATCACAAATATGCCTTACATCCATATTTAAAAGCATGGTGTAAACAAATAGTAATTTTAAAGACTCAATAAAGCCTGACACACACACACACACACACACACACACACACATACACACACAGGTTTGTTTTTGTGAAAAGTGGGGACATCCCATAGGCGTAATGGTTTTTATACTGTACAGACCGTATATTCTATTGCCCTACACTGTCATTATACAAATTTATGTCCTCATTTGTCACAAAAACGCGCACACACACACACACACACACACACTCACACACACACACACACACAGCCATTTACAAACACCTGGCACAGTGTCAAACCTTAGTGAGCTACCTGCCAGCATTTTTGGCATGCATCATTTAGGCTCAATCCCAATGTCTGAAACTGTAGCCAACAAATTATGCTGCCTCCAAAAATGTCTATTTTGGTAAAAACCAGAGACAGCAACTCTTACACAAATAACCTTTTTGTATGATGCAATCCCACAATGCTTTGTAACA